AAAAAAAAAAATGTTTAATTTAAAGACCCACAGGGCTTTTTATGAGAATCGGTAATTCAAATTGTATTACTTATTGTTTCTTTTAATAGAAAATGAAAAGGAAGAGGTATAAAAAAATTCAGCATCGAACAGCAGATTTTCGTAATAACTTACCTGGTCGACTTTCAGGATACAATATATTTAATGATAATCCAATAAAGTCAATTAATCAAATAGACATTAAAAGAGTTACAGGTACACCATACCTAGTAGTATCACTGATTAAACACACTTTTAGTTTTCATAAGTTTTTAACGAACTATATAAAAAAAAATATAAACATAAGATTTTCGCACCTAAACACAAAGCTTTCAGAAAATCGATCCGTAATATTAAAATATAAGTCCACCCACCATTAAAATAATATTGATCTGAATAACCGTACTTTAGTTAAAGGACCCATTACGTTTATTTTTTATTATTTAAATATTTATTTGAAGTAAGTAAGTAACTAAGCAATTGTTATTATACACTTTTTTGAAAATAACGTTTTAAATATTTTAAAATTCAACATTAACAATATTTTGGTTCAGGTTTGATCATGTTATAAACTATAAGCTGCTTATTCCTTTTATAACGATTCATAATTTTATTTTATTATTTTAACTTCAACTTTAGAAGTTGAATTAACTACAATTACAACTAAAATGTTTTGGGTTTTTTTTTCTGTTGGTTTCAATTATACTCGTATATAATAAGTATACATTCATTTGTACAAATCAGTTGTATTTTTAAAGTATTACAGTAATACATTATCTTGTGTATTTTATTTTTTACTAATACTTTAGAAAAATATACTTTATGACCATATAAAAATATTGAAGTATTAATTGTTTTTGTATACCTTCTAGATACCCTTCTTAATTCAGAATTTGTATTGAACATTGATTTCCTAAGGATTAGTAAATTGAGTTCAGCAAAAAAAAGATATTAAGTAAGTTGAATCCCGAAAAAAAAATGTTAATACGTGCATGCTATTTTTTAATATCTAATAATCTTAATTAGAAATCAAATTATATAATTATGACATTAATTGTATAATAATGGTATAAATTAAAATATATGTATTTTTTGTAATATTATATTCTTGATAAAAATTTAAATTATAAGAATTTGACAAATTCGAATAGGGTTATCGTATTAATATGTATTTTTTATTTGTTTCCCCAATGTTGTTCTTTATTTAGTGTACTTTTGTATTTTTTTTTATTTTGTACTATGTAATTTTACGTGCGTCTCTAATTGTACTTCTAATAGTTCGTCAACAAAACTAAAAATTTTAAGATAAAGGGTGAAAAATGTCGGTTCAATCGAGAATGATATGATTTGCAACCATTTGTTGTATGCACGGCGATAGCTGCAAATTTAGACCAAATATTTGGGGAGAAATGTAGCATTAGGTGAGATATAACTTATATGTTATATATAACTCATATGCTGTGAATTTAATGCACTAAAAACCCTTAAAAAATGCATTAAAAATGCCAACAAAATGCAATAAAATATGCACTTAAAATGCAAAAAAAAGGAATATAAAATGCCAAAAATTATAGTATAAAATTCATTTAAAATGGTTTTTAATTTAATTTTTATATTTATATTAATATTAGGTACAGGATATTAAATATTAGTACAAAAAAGTGTTTATTTAATAAAAAAGTTAAAAAATTTGACATAATATATATAGCCTGTGTAAAATAAAAAAAAGTTTTCAAACAAGTTAATTGACAAAATTTGGTTAAAAATACTAGAAAATAAACTAAAAAAAGCAAAATATGACCTAAAAATGTGAAATATGACCTAAAAATGCGAAAAAATGACCTAAAAAATTAAAAACGTCAAAAAATGCAAAAATATGCAATATAAAAGTTTCATAGATGGATTCGTAATTACATAATTCAAATTATGTACTCACAAAGCTATGTTTTATAATCACCAAAAAAAAATGCACTTTCCTATAAATTCACAGCCCTGGATATAAGTGTCTAGTTTATAATCGCAAAATAACTGTGTTTGTTTTTCATTACATATATCATTAAGTCTTCTAAAAACCATTCGCCAACTTCTTTAGGTCTTAGAAATAGCAAACTAAAATAATATTTAAAAAAATTGCATTTTTCTATGTTTAAACTTTTATATGAGTCTACTAAATCAAAAGCTTGAATCTTTATTCACCAATTTTGTCCTAAATGAAAGCGGTATCCTTTTATATCGATTTTAGACCAAATAAGCTTTACGATCGTACAGCAATCTCAAAGTCTATAAATACATCAGAAGAAAATGTTAATTGATACTGCGCACAACTATTTACAGTATGTTCAAATAAACGTAGGTATGTTTTTGTTTCTTTATTAGGCAATAAAAAAATACAAACGGAATAAATGATTTTCCAATAAGGCCGTAAATAATGAAAAACTGATAAAAATATTTTAGACAACTTTTAAAAATGCTAGCGACAAATATTGTTCTGATTTCGCATTACACATCTAAATTAAATTTTGTTAAAAACCCAATGATACCATTATTGTTATCATTAATTAATAAAAATGAATCATTTTTATTAGTAACTATAATGTCATTTAATTTATAGCAACATGCGTTTCTGTTATGTTTTTTAGTGAGTTAAGATGAATAGATATATCTACGCGTATTTCTTTCATTTCTTTTTACTAAAGAAGTATCATTTAAAGTTAAACTATTTATACTAAAGGTTTTTAACTCTCTGCAAATAAGTTTCAATGGCAATACCAATATCTTTTTATTGCTTTTCTCTTAAAATTATTGCTTATAGTTTTTGCCGGTTAATGTTTTGTTACTATAAGTTTATTGTGATTATGATCACTAAAAATTTCAGTACCATTATGTGTTTTTAAAAAACTTTTACATGTACTTATACAGAAAGTCCATCTTTGTACTTTATTATTCAATATTTTATGAAACCTAATTTTATGACTATATTTTACAATCACAGTTTTGTTTTTTTCGTTAACTATTATTTCCATTTTCCAAAATTAAAAAAAATAAACACAATATTTATAAAACTGTATTACTATATTATAACTGTATGACAATATAATCATAACTCATAAATCAACACACAGCATGCTACTAAAAATATAGTGAAATAATACAGATATTATACGTGTGTCTTTGTGTAATTATTATCAAAATAGATGATAACTTATACACTAAACAAATATACGATAAACGACTTGTACGCGTATAAACGCTCGTATATGCTATATACGTATCTCAATTACGCTTAATCAAAGTTACGACGTTATGGTATTTTGGTATTTTATTTTAGAGAAAAGTGGCTACGGCCAGTGCAATGAAATTTTTGATAAGAATAGCTTGGTAGGCAAATGGATTTATAGCTAGGACCATACTTACCTACCACCTTTTTATTCCTAGGAATCAATTAACCGCTTTCAAAATTTACACACATATTTGTAGATCCAATTTATTTAGCCCTGATTTCCTTTTTTCAAACATCATTGAAGTTTTTTAAAAAATTAAAACAATGAGTAACCCAAAATAATGTCAAAATTCTAAACGAAAAATATATTTTAGAAATTAAGTTTAAATCATTAATGCCCTACTACTCCCACTGCCAATTGGAACTATAGAATACGAACAAAGTGATATAAATTCCTACTAAAGAATGTCATCATAGTGAAAATAAGTAATAGTCAAGTACCTACTTAAGGGATATTAACATATTATATTTTCCACTGCATACTTTAATAATATGTATCTAACCTCAAAGTACATTTAAAAATATTTACCATTTTATGGTCTTGAGTAAAATTTTTAACTATTAAAAACAATTTTAGTTATTTTTAATAAATTTAAATTATTAATATTTTAAATGTTTAAATAGTTTTATTTAATAATATTTATAAATACCAAATACACACAATCGTTGAAAAAATGTATGTTAATTGAAATTTTTTATATACAAATAAAAATTAATTCTTGCTATAAAGATTTTTAGAATATGACATTAACATAATAAAGTAATATACATTTTGTTATGGTACCATTCACAAAAAATTTGAATTAATTTTTTAAACATTGTAATACATAGATAGGTATGAGTACCTACTTGTATAACAACATTTACTGGACGCTGACCTAAATATAATAAATAAACATAATACAAATTATTAGGTAAATAATTATAGTAAGATTTATATTTTATATTCAATTTGATACATTTCAAGTGAAATAAGAAAATAAATAATTGCTTAATTATTTAAATAAACTGATAGTTTCAACTTTCTAATATAGTTATATTACAATTTACTGAATAAGAAAAAAGTAGGTATATTAATAAAATTATTATTTATATTATTTTGAATTATTTGATTTATCATAATATTATTCTGTACAATATGGCCTGAATAGTATATTTTATATGTAAATAACGCCAAAAAAATTGCAAAATCATGGATAAATACCTAACTACCTAACTATTCTACTTATGATGTTTAGAGCTTTGATAAATTAAGTATATTCAACAAAAATATTAAGTTTTTATTATAACTATTCAGATTTCTTTAGATTTTCAGTAATATTTTACTAGATATTATTGATTTAGAGAGTTAGGTGAATCAAATCATTAACCTTTATTCGTGTAACAACACTATTTTATTAAATATAATACAAATATACTATTGACTAATAATTAAAATTACATCTTCTCATTAATTGTATAGTTTGCAATCATAAAAAAACACATTTAATAGGAAGACTTTGCTCCTCGACTAATTTATACAACTGTTAGACTTATCTATAATTTTCATTTGATATTATCGTGTTGTTTTTATCAATTATTAATAATATGATAATGATGCAATTTTAAAGAACATAATATTTTACATTGAAGCAAACACGAACATTGTAGTGTTATATATACGTAAAAGTGAATACCTACACAATATTTATTTTTTTTATATATATTTTATTGAATTATGCTACGAAGTTTTAAGTATTATAGTGGCTTTACCCTAGCTCGAAAAAAAACATGTAAAGAATATAATAATAAAATTGAATACAACGTATTCAAAAATTATACATGTTTAATGTTTTTTTCTAAAACAGTGTATTTAAAACGGTTTACATACCGGGAAAGTGATAGCCATACGAAGAGAAGATCAATCAGTATGGGAAAGAAGAGCCCCGTTCGCACCAGCCAACGTGGCCGAATTAACCAGAAACGGAGTCAAAGTAATCGTCCAACCGGCAAATAGAAGAGCTTATCCCGTTCAAGTATAAATATATATATATATAATGTTTTAATATAGAACATAAATGAAACGGAAAATGTGCTATTTCACGGCACATGTTATTTATAAATAATATATTTATATTTTATGATATATATATATATAATATATATATTATGTTATGAATGTTTAATGATGCGAATGATCCATGATATTGTAAATTTAACCGTCCGCGAGAAAAAAATCTTTATAACTTTAATATGTTAATGAAATGTAAGAAAACACATAATATTCTTTGTTTGGATTACTTATGTTCATGATCGATTGTTAAAATGCACAATTTAAACCTTTTATTAGCCTTATAATATAATAACTTATCATGTAATATGTAGCTACTCAATAATAATAAAGTGACTACATATACAGCCATAATATAGGTAAGATTTGACAGTTTTTGGTTTTCACTTAACGTAAAAGCGTACAATATTATCGTACACGCTAAATGCGATGACTGGCCTTGACCTTAATATTATTCAACTAAAAATTTTTGCAGACAGTAACTTGCATCAGATTACTTTAACCAATAATTGAATGTTACATAATATAAAAACAGGCATATGTAAACGCCGGAGCAGTGATACAAGAAGATATATCCGAGGCGTCTGTGGTGTTTGGCGTAAAACAAGTCCCTATCGATTTGTTGCTGCCGAACAAAACGTACTGCATGTTCTCACACACAATCAAAGCACAAGAGGCTAACATGCCCCTGCTGGACGCAATTTTAGAAAAAGTACATCCTTAATAATTTAAAATTCGAAAACCTCTATATTATTCTAACGTTGTATAACGACACACGTGTGTGTTTTGTGTTGTTGCGCTTTGAAGAACATACGACTAATAGATTACGAAAAGCTCATGGATTCTTCTGGGAACAGAGTAGTGGCTTTTGGGAAATATGCTGGGATTGCTGGTATCATAAATATCTTACACGGTCTGGGATTACGGTTGCTAGCTCTTGGACACCACACACCACTAATGGTAAATTGATAAATTCCACCATGACCGTTCGTAAATCGTTATTACATTCACAGCACATCGGGCCCGCCCACAATTACCGAAATTCGATGATGGCCAGACAAGCGCTAAGAGACGCCGGGTACGAGATTGCGTTGGGAATGATGCCTAAATCAATAGGTCCAATTACATTTGTCTTTACTGGGTATTGTATGAGTGTGTTTATAACTTTAAAAAAATTAATAATTGAAAAACTACTATTATTTTTAACACAATCAACTTTGTAGATCGGGAAACGTATCGCAAGGAGCACAAGAAATATTCCAAGAGCTACCACACGAATATGTGCCACCGTCTATGCTCCAAAAAGTTGCAGAACATGGAGGTAGTAATGGTAGTATAGTTGTTATGTAGAGTAAAATAATTTATTATGATACACTGTTAAAAAAATGTACATAAATATTATATATAATCATCCAATTCAAATTATGTGCGAACATTAATTGTTGTTGATATTCTATAGGCAGTACAAAGTTTTACGCGTGTGTAGTAACACGTAAAGATTATTTGGAAAGAATTGATGGCGGAGGATATGACCAAGAAGAATATGAACAACATCCGTCCAAATACAGATCAACGTTCAACAAAAAAGTATAATTTTTCCTGTTGCTCTAAGTCTAAATTACGTATTTATTTATTTGATAATTCAAAATATAATTCATAACATTAAATTATACATATTTAATATTTTAAATATGTGTGCAAACACTTACTCCTCTATTCAATTTATAATTATTTATAATAATAATAATAAAACATTACATAATATACGCATTACCCATTCAACGTAGATCGCTCCGTACGCTTCGGTCATCATCAACTGCATATACTGGGCTCCGGATTGTTCCAAACTGTTGACAGTACCAGACGCAAAATCACTGCTCACTCCTTCTCAACTCCCGTGGATACCAATATCCGAAGGCGCACCAGGACTTCCGCACAGGTTACTGGGCATCTGTGATATATCTGCAGATCCGGGTGGTTCTATAGAGTTCATGAACGAGTGCACGACCATTGACAATCCGTTTTGTCTTTACGACGCACATTTACATAAAGACACTAAGAGGTATGCGGATATGCATGTATGAAATTTAAAAACCGACAAGTGGCGAATATGATATTATAAATAATTAATTATACGCACGCGCTTGGTATGTATAACAGTTTTAGAGGCTCTGGAGTTTTGGTGTGTTCGATAGATAATATGCCGACGCAACTGCCAATGGAATCCACCGACTTATTTGGAAACTTGGTACTTCCATATGCCATGAATATACTTCAATCGGACGCCACTAAACCACTGGAAGAGGAAACTTTTTCTCCAACAGTTCTAGGAGTGAGTCCTTGACACTATTTACGGTATATTATTTATTATATTATACTGCTAAACATTGTCATCGTCCGTAGGCTATCATCGCCAGCAATGGATCGCTGACCGAACGGTTTGAATACATCAAAGAGTTACGGCTAGCCAATAAATTCGCTTCCTCTAAGTCCTCCAATGTTGATCACACTGGCAAAAGAGTATTGGTACTCGGTTCCGGCCATGTGTGTGGACCATTAATCGAATATCTTTTAAAAGACGAATCGTTAATAATCATACTCGGTAAAATTATAATGACCTAAAAATACACAAAAATGCATTTAACACAAAAAATACAAAATAAAAATTACATATTCTAAATTATTATACAACGAAAAAAATTTAATTTTTGGTTAGAACTATATAACACTCAAAGAAAAAAAAAATGCAAAATTCATCAAAGTCCTAACTTAAGTCAATAGCCATTACTATAAAAAAAACTGGTCTACGCTCGTATTTAATGAATATACTTGATGTATAGGTTCTGTGGACATGAGTGGAGCCAATAGCTTGGCAAACAAGTTCAATAGAGTTCAGCCAACTCAAATAAATATTTTGGAGGACTTGAGTTACTTGAAAGAACTCGTTGGACAGTCGGATTTGGTTGTGTCGCTTCTACCTAGTCAATTCCACCACTTAGTGGCTGAACAATGTATAGAATTTAAAAAAAATATGGTGACGGCTTCATACTGTTCAAATAAAATGTCACAGCTGCATGATAAGTACGTACCAACAAATAACGCGGAGTCGAATAAATTTAGTTTAAAATTTCTATTCACATACCTATTATAGAGCCGTCGAAGCCGGTATAACCATTGTCAATGAAGTTGGATTGGATCCGGGCATCGATCATCTGTTGGCCATGGAATGTATTGATCAGATACACGAAGAGGGTGGTAAGATCGATTCGTTCGTATCATATTGCGGGGGCTTACCGGCTCCCGAATATTCCAACAATCCGCTGAGATATAAGTTCTCGTGGTTTCCTCGCGGAGCGCTTGTAAATACCGTAGCTGAAGCCAAATACCTAAAAAATCACGAAGTAAGTATACAGAATAATGGATCTTAACACATCGCTCATCATTTATTTTACATTTTTTTTCCAATATTTAACCGAATGATTTAGATCATCGATATCCCTGCTGGTGGCGCTCTAATGAACAGTACGACAGAATTAGATTTCTTACCTGGATTTTCGTTTGAGGGATTTCCAAATCGAGACAGCACCCGATATGCCAAACTATACGGCATAGCAGCAGAAGTACAGACCATGCTCAGGGGTACGATACGATATAAAGGTAAGATCATCAATATTCTGAAATACGTATATTTATAATTTTCAATTATTGTAGATAACCTATATTTTCTTATGTAAATTTCATAAATATCACGAATTTAGGTTTTTCTGAGATGATGAAGATACTACAAAAACTGCGTCTTATCGATTCTAAGGACCACGCTGTCCTCCATCCAAATGGGCCTGATATCACATGGGTAAGCATTTATACTTTTATAGCTAATTATAATATTAGTATTATGATGATATGGTTGTAAACTTATAACTTATAATTAAAATGTTACTAAAACTAATAACCGATATTATAGTATCGACAAAACGATTTATATTGGCACTTTGAGTTTTTCGGATACCAACCAGAAAATTTTAAACACCTATAAAAAAGTCAAAACATAAAAACTGCGTTGCATATAAATTAATTTATGTTTTACTATTTTTTATAAACAAGTAACAATATACTCTTCTTATATTATTTCTACTTAATAAAATATAATCTACATAATTTGATCGGTTTTATATCGGCTAAAGATCGGTTTATTGAATATTGGAAAAGAATGTCAACCCACCTCTAGTTAGATTAAGGATAATTAAACATTTCTATTATCGGATAACTATATTATTATATACAGTAAGTATGTGTATCAAATTAAATATTATAAATACGTTCATTTTGGCACAGTGTCAGTTGATTTGCACGCTATTAGAGATCAATGACATTGACATGTTCTACGAAAATTTGTTGTCGAAAGTAGCCGATAAAATCGGACCATCGGTTCTAGACAAAGTCATGGATCTAGGACTGCTAACAGAGGAACCAGTCTTAAAACTCGGCTCACCATTAGACACGTTTTCACAATTCATCGCTTCAAAATTGTCTTTAAGTACGTACATATTAATATTATTATAATCACTATAGTATGTATATAGTATTAATGTATATTATATATTTATATTACCTATACTTGTATATATTATTAGTATATATAGTCAATACATTAATTATAAATAAATTTAAAAACTTTTATAATATCAAATTAATGAAAAATGGCTACAATTTTTTTAACTAAAGTATTATTAGATTGCATGATGGACGTATGTAATTATTGTAATAATAGTAATATTTTATACCGCACCGAAAACGTGCAATCGTTTTTGCTTACGCAGATAAAGACGAAAGAGACCTGGTGGTATTGTACCACGACATAGGAGTTTTGTGGCCAGGCAATCGATACGAAAAAAAATTGGTAACGCTTGTGTCTTACGGCGAGACCAATGGATACACAGCAATGGCGAAAACGGTTGGGATACCAACGGCAATAGCAGCTACTATGGTCCTCCAAGGTGAATAATAATTTGCAAAATTATTAGTATTGTTTTTACTTGTTAAGTGACGCTAATCTTCATAGAATGATAAAATATTAGATTTTTTGCAAACTATAACTTTAATGCTTTAACGAAACAAGAATAGTATCCTGTTCTGAATTTGTTTCAGTCATACGTCAATACATTTTTATTTTCTACGCATAATTTAAATGAATAATTATTTGATTTCGAAAAAAAAAATGTATCACTTCTGTTGTATGGAAACAGTTATTCGGTATAAAAATATTGTCAAATTTGTTGGATAGAGGTTTTTAAACAAATTTAAATTTAAATTCTTAATGCTTGTGCTTAGAATTCATTTTTAATTATACTATAAAAACTAATAAGCAATAATAAAATTCTTTATTCGTTGGTTTCGTTGGTTGTTATCAAAAAAGGTTAATTTAAGTTTATTTTCTTATACTATATATGAATATATAAATACAAAACACAAATTAAGAGTATACATAAAATATGTAACAGACAAGCTAAATATTTCTTTGTCGCAACAAAAAAATAAAAACAAATATGACCTTCCAATATAATAGTTAACACTTAACAGTATATCATTTAAAAAATATGAATTGGAACGAAGGCAATTGGGCAGTATGTAAAATATAAAAGAAATCATTAGGATACCTATATATATTTATTGGGTAGTAATTTATTCCACTAAGAATAACTTACATATTGAATCTTCTACAGCATCATAGCCTACCATAATAATTATTTAGATAGTTTAAAATTGTAAATGCATCACCTCGGATATTTGCGGGGCACTGATTATATATTATTTTTATTTTAAATGAATGCTTGAATTACTACGATTATTGGTATTTTAATTATAAATGTTTGAGGCAATATATACTTAACTTTTAAAATTTTTATTTTAGGAGAAATACAAGCCAAGGGCATGGTGTTACCATTCACCCCAGATATTTACAGACCCATGTTAACAAGATTAAGGCTCGAGGGGATATCTGCGCAAACCACGAATGTTCGGTCATGATTTCATGATTTAATTATATTTTTCGTCTCAAATAAAATGTTTCATTGTATTGTTTTTTTTTTTTTTTAAAAAAACGTCGTTATGATATAATATTAGTCATGTTAGTTCGTATTGCATAGCTTATTTTTATACGTAAATAATACATAATCAATATTCATTATTATATATTATGACCATTAATCAACCATATAAATACTTTTAACAGGTATAAGTAATTACGACTAATTTCATGATGATAGTTTTTCTGAGGATGCAAAAAAGGAGTAATTTCGCATTATTTTAATTTTAAAATTTGTGTTTTATAATTTTAATTTAAAACTAAGAAAATTGAATGATATCCAGTTCTGTGCTAGATTTTAAAATAAAAATGTAGTTTTTAAATAATAGGTATGATATGGAGTATTAGAGTCTGGCTGGTCTGAGAGTCTCGCGTCTATAATCTAAATGGCCGATGGATTTTTAGTTATATATTGCCTCTTTAAAAATTGAATGCTAATAGATTAATAGAACCGTTAATGATCTCCTATGATAATTTATTAAGCAACTAAACGAGTTTATTAATAAATTATTTCATAGTATATTATACTATACTATACTTTTTTTTTTTTATTTAAAAATAATGATATTTACAATCTGTGTTTACATCACAATAAGTAAATTTGATAATTTATGTACAATATTTGACTTGAATAATTTGAAGAGGGAGGCCAACCAGTGCTGGAACCCAGCGTGCATTTACTTTAGATTAACAAATCTCTGCAATATTTTCTTTTGAGCCTATGGATGGGGTTAATGGGTTAGGTAGATAAGATTTGTGATATTAATGGGTTGGTATGGGAAGGTAGTTTGAAGTAGAAGGATCTGTAATGTTTGGTAGCTAATTGGTCAACTGACTCAATTTTTAGGTCAGAGTGTAGTGAAGAGTTGGAAACAAACAGCAGACGTTATCATACGGAGGGTAATGGACTGGAATGCTTGTATCGTGCGAATTTGGGACTTATATAATATTATACTTACAATTATTTTATACTTTTACACGGTTTACCTAATATCCATACTAACTTTATTACAGAAAATAAATTATTATTGAACCAATAAAAATCGCTTCTGTGAAATAAATTTTATTTAATTTTACGTTATTATCGAAAACAATGTAGTTACGCGACGACATTATTTAAACGTCAAAACAATTCACAGAAGTGTTATAGTTGATTAGTTTTATCGTCTTTGGTCTATCGATCATCTTACCTACTTGTCCAGTACTATTGTACAATACAATAACTCAAACTTATACGTCTATAATTTGTTTATTAAATATTGCACAGATAAGTTTTCTTCTTTTTATGATAAAAAATTGGTTTCTTAATTATAGCTTTCTAGGTTTTATCATGCAAAAAAATGATTGTTTTTATAATATAATATTGTAATTATGCAAAATTTGACAATAATTCACTGATATAGTTACACGAGACTACTTTTAAACTACTTTAAATTATTATTTAAGATTTAAAATTTTAATTTTTCTTATAGTTATTAAAATTGCCTAAATTAAACCCCTTAAAAGTGAATGTGTGTTTTCACGCTAGTTGAACGGACGTCATACACTCATACCTGCATGTGCTGCTTTCGTATTACTAACGTAAGTACACCGTAACAAATTTGAGTTAGCAGAATCCATTTTATGCTGTTTGCTTTAATAGTAGAGTAAATTAATTTATTATTCAATTTAAAGGTAAAAATATTATCTAAGGCATCACGTATGCTTTTATTGATATTTTCATTTTAAACTGAGTTATATATAAATGTGTAAAATATTAAAACTTTAAAAAATTCATAATTCGCTTCAAAATTAAATATCAATAAAAGCTTACGTGATAATAAAAATATTTTCTGCTAAACACGAATTAGCTATACTGTATGTTAGTAAGACGGAGACAACACATACGAATACAATGTCTTCTAAAATCATACAAATATTTTAGTTGTACTATTTGTACAAAAAAAAGCTTAAACATTTGTAAATAACATTTTCAATTATTTATTATACTAATAATTATTTACTGTCGACCCCGAAACATAAAACCGATTAGTAAATAGTGGCTACTGTACCATAAGTAATATGTTATTTTTTCCATTTATATCTATAAGAAGAAATTTATTGTTTATTATCAATTTAAGAGCTATACACAATATTAGTTTAATTACACGAACGCCTCTACAAAATAGAGCCTTTAAAAAAGTTTATACAAATATAAATGTATTTATACTTACCAAAGTATATACATAATACATTAAAAGGTACCAGTTATACGAAAACCATTTCGTATTCGTAATAAAGTATTAAAAAACATTATAAATTTATAATACAATCGAACTCGTATGATTTGTACCTACTTAGATATATTACACTTTTTTTCCACTAAGTGAATTTAATTTTTAGGAAACAAATTATTGTACTTTTTGTAATTAAAACTTTTATACAATAATTTTCACGTCATTATATATTAACATTAAAAAAAATAAAAATAAATACTTTTATTTAAAATGTATACATCGTTGTATATAAGTATTATTATGTCAGCATTGTAATTTATCAATGTCGCACGGTACCTTTTTTTACCCGTCATATAAAAAAAAACAAACACTTTTTTCATCGCCGTACAAAGGATTAAAAAAATATTGATCTAAAATACATTTATTGCTGAGATTCATATTGAATGATAATGAACATACTACACAGTACATGAGTAATTTAATGAGAAAATTTCAAATGTAATTTGGTAGTTTGCTATCATGGAAAAATAAACGCAACCAACTGGCAACTTATGTGCCACCAAATACCAATAGTAACTAAGTAGTATCTATTATATTATATACAGAGCGGCGGAGCAAAAACAACCACACTTAAGATAAGCGTAACTTTGAGAGGGGATATCGCATAATATTAGCGAACATCTCATTGTTTAGTATGTGACGGGAAATTAAGTTTCAATGGCGCAGTGCAATATTCAATATCGCTAGTTTGCCGTAAAGACATTTTTCCGAAACAATGAATCAATTGTGGCTACACAACGCGCAATCCGCACGCAATCAATCTCCATCCGCGTACAGATGTTACCAACCGCAGACCTATTTTAAAATGGGTTAAGGATTTTTGGGAATATGGTAAGGTGGCCCTAAAGATTCCTAGATGGATGGTCTGGGTCGGTGGTTGGGAATAACTGTACGCAGAAAGAGACCAAATCGCGTGCGGATTGTACGTTGTGTAGCTACGATTGAAACATTGTTTCGGAAAAATGTCTACAGCGAACGAGCGATGTTGAATATTCCTCTGCACCATTGCAACTAAACTTCTCGTCACTTACTAAACAATGCGAGACGTTTGGTAATATTATGCGATGTTTCTTCCCAAAATTACGCTTATCTCAAATGTGGTCGTTTTTGCTCCGCCACTCTGTATATAATATTTATTATATGGTTTAATATTATAAAAGATAATAGCTGCGGGCTCAACTGATATAATGTATGTGTCTTTAGACTAGGGTGGCCATACGTTCCGTTTCAAACAGGATTGTCCCATTTTTTGATCATCATGTTCCGTTGTCCTGACAAACTCCAAACGGGACGCATTTTATCCCGTTTTTAAAAGATGGAATCGTTTTAATCTCGTTATTTCCAAATTATTAAATAATATTTGTAAAAAAAATATCAATATATCAAAAAAATATAAAATAATTTTAAAAAGAGCAACATATTACAATTATTATTTTATCATTTTAATAAATCGTAACTTAAATGTAATTAGAAAAAATAAAAAATTATTATATTAATAAAAAAATATTTGTCTCGTTTTTTATTTTTATAAAATTGGTCACCCCACCTTAGACCTAACCTTCCAGTGTCTAAATTCTGTAAAATTATTATATTTACCACATGATAAGTATACCTACAATAAAAATTAAATATAATAATAATACAGTTAAAATTAATTCAATCTACCATATTAGGTACCTATAATAGTAAAACAAATTACTAAAGTGGCGATATAAATAATAAATACGTCATGAAATATACTTATTAAAATAGGCTGATTGTTGACAGGCCGTTTTTACTTAGAATTGTATTTCATAAGCACTAATTTATCATTAAATTCAAATTTAAATATCCATTATAGAGACTACTCACAAGGTATTCATTAACGAGGCAAACTCGATCTACAGTACAACAAAGTAGTTAATAGAGGCGAATTTAACTTTTTTACGGCTATAAGCATCAAAAATTTGCCGCCCCTATAATAGGTGAACAACTGAACAAATTACCGCAACCGTATACGGTATACCAGATACGATATGCAAAAATATTAAATAAATAACGCACATTACCTATTGATTATTTTTCGTAAATATAAAGTAATTAATTTTTCACTTTTTTTTTATGTTTGATGTTTTTTAATAAAACACTACAAAATTTTCCACACCCTCAAATTTTGCCACTCTAAGCAACTGCCTACAATGCATAATGAAAAATTCGCCTCTGGTGGTTATCTATTAATTTTGAACTTATATAGTCAATAAAATGTTAAAATTAGATATAATTTCAAAAATATGCTTTTAATGTGTTTATCTAAATTCCTAATAAATGAAATATTAACAAATAACATTGCTTACATTTTCAACATTAAAACAATATAAGAAATCAATTATAGAAGTTACTTTGATAAAGTATTGCTATAAGTAGGATAAGTACCTACTTACTTAGGTGTTAGGTATATCAAATTAATAAAATATTAAACAATTCAACTAATAAATTAAAATTATTAAAAATGTAAAGTCTACAGTTTATGTAATTTTTAAGACAGGTAAGGTGAATTATTTCGGCTAAATCACTACATACTTTTCGAGATTTTACCATAAGAATATTATAAACCTACGCATAAAATATATACATTAATAATTGATATTTAACTCATTTAATCTGCGTATGCGTAGTAAAATAAGTTTCTTGAATAGTAGCGGCTCCCATTTTTATAAATAACTTTAAAATCAAGTGATTAAAAAAAACAAATATTCAAATTCGATTTTAAAAATGAGGGTCCTTATTTAAGGAAATATTATTTTACTACGCATGAGCAAAATACGCCAGATAACATGAAGAATTTACAATTATTTTTTATTAAATTATAGTACCTATTTGTTTAAAAATCAGAATAATAGAAAAGTCCCAAATAAAATGCTCATTATAGTCATTCAGCAAAAATACTGTTACCAAATGCCATATCCACGTGTGTTGTCTTATAAACGTACCTATACCACGTACGAAAATACGACGTAACAAATTTGTATTCAACCGCGCTACCACTACAAATGTATGTAATATCGTTTAATAATAAAGAAATAAAATGAAATAAAGTGAATTAGGATATTATCAAACTTAAATATAAAAACATTACCTAGCTATATTTATACATAATTATATGGATATCTATGTAAAATATTAAATATTATAATTTCAAAATCCTCATGATTTGCTTAAAAAATAAATAATAATATAATATAAAAAGCACAAACGAAAACGTGGAAAATATTCTTACTTTTAAATTTAATTACTGCGACTTTAAGTAAATACAAAAAAATCTAATATGAACGAAATATACAAACTTTAAAAATATAGCATTACGTAAATTCCTAATGACCCCCTTCCATACGTCGCTATACATATTATCCACTAGACATTCAAATTTCAAATACCTTTAGTGTTTGATGTAACTAAATCATATTCCAAACTTTTCCTCCTTCACGTGTTATCTCATCCATTTAAAACCACTTGCTAGAAATCTAGCTGCTCCAATAATTTCCGGTAACTCCCTCAAGAAGGTCAAAACGTATGTCGTGACTCGTGACCTGCTTGACATCTAAAAAAAAATTTCCTCCAGACGATAACGTAGTAAATGGGTAATTGCTTTCCACAAATTATTCATGTATTACTTTCGAGATTACCTAATTATACATTTTTTTTTTTTTTTTTTGTACCACTAGACACAAATTGAAAATCACATTTAAAAAAAACTAAAGAGTTTAATTCAATCTGACAACTAGGTACACAAAATTAAAGCGACTGAAAAAAAATTGTCCGGGTTGAAAGTTTGTAAGACAAATGACAAAATATGTGAGGGTGATTTTCTTATAAGTTATTAAGTTGAACACAGAATAATATATTTTTTTAACCCTGATAATATATTTCAACTGCAGAATATACCACATCCTGGATAATGACAAGGAATGTAACTGTATGTTAGCACCTTTGTCAAAATATCAATTTCACTATGCAATGTGTTGGGAGAATATGAAACTTTTAAAACAAATGAATAGGTAATAAATAATAATATACAAAAAAAGTAAAAACAAAGAACCATTAGTGTTAAACTAAATACCAATAGATTGTACAGAATATTAAATAGAAACTAACAAAATGCTTTACAGGAAAAATGATAATTAACTTAAAATTTAGTTTCAGAAATCTAATTAAACATGTAAAAAGGAAAGTATCTACATATAATATTTAATTGTTAAATTCCTTCAAAATAAAAATAAGTTGTATCATTTATTTTTATTGTAATAGTTTGAATTATAAATTATTTTGTGTATAGTAAAATAGGTACAACACAATTATTTACATCTAAAGTGTCAAATTAACATAAAATATTGCAATAAATAAATGTTTTATGTAAATAACATAATCAATTTTATAATATTTGTTTGATTTGTGAATATCCTATAGACTTCATAGGTGACATAAACATGAGTAAATTGTGTATAATAATGCTAACTGACAAAACAAAATTGTTCACTATATCAGGTAAAGCATAATAAATACAAAAAATAATACTGAAAATATAAATCAATTAAGCACTGCTGTGTATGAATATTTTAAGACAAAATAAAAAATGTACACTAATGCTCAATGATTAACTATAACGTCATTACAATAAGTATTACAGTAATAAATATTAAATAATTTTTATACTACATACATTAAGTACCTTTTGTATGATAAGAACCATTTGTCAGATACAATATAGTAAATAATAATAGAAGAGTTCAATCATTGTGAACACGTCTTATCACATTGTATAGTAAACCTACATACCATGTATCAACATTATATTCATTATAGTATAAAATATCTTTGTATTAGATATACAACAAATTTTCTTGATTAAGACAAAATAAATTTTGATTAATGTATATTGTTAAATGCCTATGTAAAAAAAAAAAACTATTATTGCCTTCCAACATTCATAAATAATTATAACGGGGAATCGTCTAAATAGATATTTTTTACAAATATTATAAAACAAATGATTTTTATAACAAATAATTTGGTAAATTAAAATAAAATATTACTATTATTTTTTATTTTTTAATAAAAGTGCACAATGTTAATTTTAATACCAAATTAAAAAATTAACAACTGTTATTGGAATTAAATTCAACAGTTACAAACAAAAAACAATACAACATTTTTTTTTTTTATATATATAATAGTTTTAATTAAAAATGAAATTTAAGTATAATTTTAAAAAGAAATACATAATTAATTTAGGTACCTATAAAAAATAAGAAAAAAATTATACATGTAATTCAGTTGGACAAAAATGATTTTCTATGAAAAAAAATTAATACATACATACAAATAAATTGTTAGTTGTATACAGCAGATGATGTTTAGGAGACGAAAGATGGGATTTTCGAGAAAATATATCAAATATTTGATACATGGAATACAAAAAAAAAACACATCAATATATTATTGTGTTTTTTTTTAAATCTATTTCACGGATCACGTAGATTTTGTTTTCTTGAATACACTATCCCAAAAAGATTGCAAAGAATCTTGCACATTTTTAGCATATTGCTGTACAGTTGGATTTGTTTTAACCCAATTGTATGATTTAATAGATGCCTCAATACTTGTGTGGACTGCACGATCAAAAGAAGTCCCAGCTTGTAGCAGATAATAGTTGACTTTAGAAGCTACTTTCGGATCTAAATTTGATGTAGCTGATCCCCAAACAGGCAAAAGTTTAGCCTTGACATTACCATATGCTTTCTTGTCATAGTATGACAAGGCATACAAAGATAAGCCAATCAACACCGCGAACAAAAGAGTGTATGAAATGAGCATGCCAAAGAATCCAAAAACTAAATAAATACATACAATTATACTTGGTATGTAAAAATATATAGAATTATGAAATAATAAAAAAAATACCTTTAGATACAAAACCAGCAGGTTTCTTTTTGGGCTTGGTTTTATTTTTTGACTTATCGTTTTGTACACCATTTGGCGAGGCTTTACTATTTTTCTTATCCTTCTTTTTATTTTGTTTGTCATCTACACAAAAAGAAAGTTTTCAAATTTGCATGTATGTTAAACTAACAAAAGTTTAATATTGAAAACAATTACCTTGTTTTTTGGAATCACCCTTCAAATATTGTATAGCATTGACAGCTGCTGACTGGCATTGTGCATTATTTTGTGATGGTCCAACGGCTTCAATCAGTTCTGGTTTCAATGGGTTGTTGCTCAAGTTCAAATGTTTCAATTGTTTAAGCTTACTCAAGCCCTTGGGTAAATCTTTGATTTTATTGTTGGCTAACGACAGGTAAGCAAGTTTTTGCAACGAACCAATATCACCAGCCACACTCTTAATTTGATTGCTGGATAGATCGAGCTTTACTAGACCAGGTAATGAAGAAAAAACATTCTGAAAACATTTGATTATAAAGGTATAAAATATGGCATACAAATAAAACTAATATTGACAAAGAACTAGGTGAGAACACTTACATCTGTTGATGTGATTTTATTGTTGGATAAGTCCAGATGAGAAACTTTCAATGGAGCCTAGAAAAAGATAGCACAATGATTTTGGTAGGTATATAGATTTGCCTAGTTGGCCAAAATAAGTTAGTTTGTAGGTTAAAGACGGCGGTGTTGGCATATTGTCTAGATACTCAACACTCATCTAGCCGGACAAACCCGTTTGCTAGGTTAATACTTACGATTTCCTTAGTGGGTATCTCCGTTAGATTGAGACCACTTAAGTTCAGCTTGTTGTTTTTCACCCTGTCCTTAATGTTGACCACGGTCATTTTTTTATTTTCGTTGCGATTAATGGGTAGTTGTTAATAAACGCGAATGCGATGTGTAGATATGTCTGTTAGCGGTTTTTCCGTAAGTGAACTGTAGTATTAATTGAATGTGATTAAGGCCAGTGAAATTCGCACAGTTACCGTTACAGCGATCGTGTGGCACTAAAAAAAACGAACGAGCACAAAACCGTCGCGAAGCCGCAGCGCGTGTGGTTTGTGAGTTAGACGGTCGCAGCGGTAAGCCGTAAAGTGGAGAAGAAAAAATCAAATTGTAAACACACTGAATTTCCGATACACGTATATCAGAGTTGGTTTGACACGTGTCAAGAGTGCCAACATTGCGAGTTCTCACCGGTGTTCGCCGGGTTGGTGTCGTTGGCTCGATTGGTGGTGAAGGGTTGTGGTGGGGAAGATAGCAGCGCACTACTACCACGTCGGCGTCTCGGTAGAGAACGGACGTTATTACTTATTTAATTTTCCTGCTAGCCTACAGTATCGACACGCGTACAATCTTTTTTTCTCCCATCATCGTCTATAGGATTATCAAATTATGACTTGCTTCTTAAACGTCTATTCTAAAATGTAGATACCAAAACGATTTATAGGCTATAGCTTATAGTTTATGAGTTTGAGTTATGACTGTACAAATATTTCACCGTAAAGTCGAATAAAAAACAAAAATATTCGAGTTGATTATGAGATTTTCTTTAAGTTTTTTGACAGTAAACCTAGGTAGGTACCGTATTTCTCAATTTAGGGTCATCGCAGACTGGACAGCAGCCTACACTCCGCAGTTCGCACTCAGTCAGCAATCCAGCAGAACAGCTGCTGATCGTTAAACATAAATAAAAATTATTGAATTAATTATTACTCGTATTATTTATTGTATAAAAATTATGACCGATTGTTTATTATTGTTTTTGTCTATAACAGAGGTTTTACTTGACCAACGACATTATGATAATATCTAATAATTTAATAATAAAATATTTATTGTGATCGTGGCGTAAAAATAATTACGTAATACATATTCAATAATAATTAATGTGAATACTTTTAAGGTATCGGTATGTTATATTACATAAATTTTAAATTAATATGATAGGCTTCAACCATTATCTGTCTAGCGTCTAGCCTTGCAAATAATTTTGTTGTCTCCGAGGCTCTTGCTAATATTTTTTTTTTAGATTAAATCACTAATTTATTTGTTTAAAATTTATAAGCGTGATAAAATTAAATTGGTAGTAATAACTAATAACATTTAGCAAATAAAAAGGTAATAACATAAATGTAAATCAAGTAATGTAAATAATAGCAGATTGCTATATTTTATAGAAATTAGTTTTATAAATACCTAATCTTGTCGATTCAAAGTTTACAAACTCAAACTTATTTTACATTCTAAACAATACTGAAAAGTGCCATACAAAAGAGTTTTTAAATACAAAAGATTATTAAAAAAAGCTTAAGATCAACCATAAAACAAAAATATTTGAATTCGTTAATTTATTTTTATTTTTCGTATGTCAATCGTTTATATTATTGTCAACTGGCTAGTATTAGACTAATAGTAAAAATAAAAAATAGCAATAGCAGCGATAATAATAATATTATTACATAACACAACCATGTAAAACAATAGTATTAATTTTAAGGTAATGATACAATTAATAAAAATACCATTTTAATATGGAATAATACAATATAATATACTAAATGATAACAGGTAACACAGTAGTTTAAACTTTAAAATATGTTCAGATATTGGTCATAGCCCATAATACCCATATCCGTGTATCTATATGTGGAAATTGAGGATGATTAACCGCCAAAAATTAATGAACATTTCTCAAAGTATTAAATAAGTACCTATTTTACATTAATGCAAAGAAAGTTTTAAACCCCTCCCCTCCCCCTAAAAAACTCAATCAAATAACCACCTATATGCATGAATCCACCATCCGCGACACTGCATTTTCTTTGACTCTGTATAATCGTTCAATTCTGTCTTTAAACTTAGTATTTGGCTATGTTTCGATAACTGTTCGTCTCCTCCACACGAGCAGATAGAGAAGCTTTCATCATTTTATATTTGTATATAAAAGCAGATTTAACAATTTGCCGTTTCTATGTCAAATTAAATTCACTGCTTTTATCCTAAAAAATGACTTTTATTTTACCAAACATCGTTAAATAAAATTATTTTCTCAATAATATACAATTATTTATTTATTCAATTTAAGTAAGAAAACGTTCCGATTCAAATATAATATCTGCTATTTATATTTTACAAAGTAAAAATATTTGAAAGAAAAACTTTATAAAATCAATAATTTTTACGTACGTATACTTATTGGTGGACAGACAACTATCAACTAATTAAGTTATTAATGGATAAATCTCGAATGGTCAAAATTGATTGAATTGTCAAATAAACGTTGTAATATTAAAGTATACATGGTAAACCCATACCAATCACGATCTTCGTAAAGTGAATATTTATTTAACGTAAATCGTATTATATCTATATTCTTCTATAAACAATTAGATACCTAAACTAAAATAAAGCGCAATCGCCGTTGTAATCGACGAGTTTCTAGAAAAAAATAAATAAATATATTACTTAACTAAAAATAATCGAATATAAAATCAAAAATACCTTTCAATATATTGAAATAGTACGTTAGATTAAAAATTATGCAAGATAATTACATAAAAACAAAATAAATATCAAATGCAATTTTGGTACATCCAAAATTTGCTACCTTATGAAGCCGCATAATTCGCAGTGCCTTAAATCCACCTCTGTTTGTATACGAAGCTTCTGAATCAGCCTTATTCAATTTTTGTTCTATTTAAGTCTCCTCATAATCCGTGGGAAGTTAAAACTGGAAACTTTTGCCACAAGATGGTTGACACCAGTTTGACGATTCAAACACTAGACTCTTTCCAACAGATTTTTTACACGTCTAACACAGAATCTGTTGAAATATTTATATCCCATATGGGATTCCTCAACCTAAGTTTTTTCTGCGAGTGTGATATTATGTCTTTATGCAATGACAGATTTGAATGACTTTAAAATTTCTTCAATAGTTTTATTTTTCTGTGTATATTAGTCTACGTAAATCTAATTATATTTTCAAGTATACCCGTAATTTTTGTACTTAGATTGTTCTCACATAGTCTGATTAAGCTTTTTTACAATATATAATCGTGACCCATACTTGGACTCATAATATTTAACTACGTTGTAAGACAAATACTAATATCTCGTTTGTAGAACTAATGCATTGCTATACAATGTTACTCCATCCTGTGCCTGTTAACTTAGTTTTAATATTATTTCGCTTCTTAATTCTTATAATCATTTTTTACGGTCTCTTAGTGCTATTTGAAAGTCGAAGTTCTGTCAATTTTTATTTACAGTTTTATCTGAATTCAAAGTATACTGTATAAGTATAAGGTGCCACTTGTTGAAGTATTCTTATAATTTGATTAAATCTTGACTTAATATAATGTTCTCCATAGTTCATGTAGTAAAGGACTTAGTTTTGGATACTATTAGAGTATTTTTAGAGAGTTATATTATCGGCATACTTACATTTTTTCAGTTCTGTTTCTACGATATCAGCTATGTATATATTAAGGCCCAGTTTCACCATGTACGAGTTAAAGTGCGAATTAGTTAATCCTGAGTTACCGTCTAACTTTGAGTTAGCATTGTTTCAGTTTCACCATAGGTTTTTTGGTAGGAGTTAGTTAATCCGAATTAACCTCGTTCCAACAGTATTTCTTCCAGGTTTTTGGAGATAACGTTGATAACAATTCCGCATTTTCGCGTATCTATTATCTAATATCTACTATTTTTTCGCATGATCATAAATTCATAACTTTACTGCGGTATTTTGTTGTATTCTGTTTTCTGTACTTTTTAATGAATCATAGTTGCATAAAAAGGAATATAGTTGGTGACAGTAGTATTATATTTTATTTATACCTGGTGACTGAATTTTTATATGGGTACAGTCTATAGCTCCTATTACTCTGGGAAATCTACTTCGGCTGTAAAACCCAGTAACTACTCTTTTTGTATCAACATCATTCATTGGGAACGACAAGAATTTTTGTTTTTGCTTTGCTATGGCTCTACATGTTTGGTGAATGTAACGACAGGCTGATGATTCACTAACTCCAACAAAGTCAGAAATAGCTAACAAAAAAGAACCTGTAGCAAGATACCTGAGTACCATGTACAGCTTACAAGGTGCCAATATTGCTCTGTTTCTGAAACAAAAATAGTAATACCGTAGGTAGAAGAAAAAATCACAGCAAAAACAACTTTTACATAAAGTTGAAGGATTTTCATATTGTTGGTTATTCGACGACAACAACAATATCTTTAATAAATAAGATAAAAACTTTAAAATAATTAGTTATTATTACATATTATATTGATCTCATTGGACGACTGATTAAGCTGACCTTACAAGATAGTTGGTATACAAGTTAGGACCATCCTGTCATCATAGCAATATTATAAATTGTCAGTTAATCCCCGTCCATCCGACCCATAGTTAAAAAAAAAGTTACACACCTTGATACTCCTATGCATATCCACACTTTAGTGTAATATAACAATAGATGTTGTTGTCTCCAACAGTATCACTGTTTTTCACGCAACAACTGTTTTCAAATTGTATTAAAAGCTACTTACCTTTGAGAAGGAGGTGATATTTCATTTTCTATCAATCTCAAGACCATACTAAACGTAGCTTTTGAAATACGAAATCGATTTATAAAATCATGATCGTCATACAGTTCACAATAGTTGACTCTTTCATAAAATATCCGAGGTCGACGTTGCATATCAATAATCTCTTCATCATCGTCATCGTTATCGTATAGTATTCGACGATACATTCTATTTTATTTGAACTCTTGTTTTAAAAATGCCCTATGTAGAAACTATGAAAACGTTGAAGTAAAAAATCCGAAGAAAAAAACAGCGCCAAACTTATAAAATTCTACATGTTATCTACATGATTACAATATTGTTAATAATTTATTATCATATAAACAATCCCTCCCACGACAACGCGGCTGATATCGTGGTCGTAACTTGGAGTTAGGTCATTATTACCTAGAATAATCGAGGGTTAAAATCTGGGAGTAAAGATTTTCATTAACTTGAAGTTATCACTTAACCCTAGATGGTGAAATTACATTTTTGCGCTAACTCCGAGTTATCGATAACTCGCTTTTTAACTCTTAGTGGTGAAACCGGGCCTAAAAGGCATAATAGCGAGTAAACGGAGCCTTGGAAAGTAGTCCGTTTCGTAAGCATTTGTATCTAGTATTTTTCCCATTCATCTCGCAAGAACATTTTGTATTTTACCTTTGATAGTATACATTTCGTTAGTCAGAATGTTTTTCTGTATTTCAACATTTTAACAAGATTAATTAATAATACATTATTAATATAATGACTGTAGAAAAATGTATGAAAACTGCAGAGAAAAATTGTTTGACATTGTGTCCAACTTGTCAAATCTTTTAAAATCATTACTTTTATAAATTAAATTATCTAATAATCTACAATACTAATAATTATTTAGCATAGTTGTTTTATGGATATATTTTAAAGACAAGTATTGTATACAATTTATATAATCATTTGAACTTATCTTACTTCTATAAAAGCTGGCAAACGAAAAAAAAATGGAAAACTATTTATAATTAGCCCTTTGAATAATTTTCATAATTGCCAACATCATATTACATCTGTATACAATAAACCGCAATATAGATCACCAATTAAACATTATATCTTTAGATTATACAAATACATATTTATATCTATCACTAATACTACTGTCTTTTAATATTTTAATTTTGTCAATTAGATTATAAATAATCTTAAAATTTTGTAAGACGACACTTTAGTAATTTTAGATATTTCGGTATCACCTGTTAGTTATAATAAGTTTATTTATAGATTCTATTCGACTACATGAGTTAATCACATATATTAGAAGTTATTTAATTAACATTCCAGGCAGTTAATTTTTTGATATTTTTATTAATATAAATAATACTATTAAAATGATATTAACAGACAAAAAAACATGTTCATAGTTGTTTAATTAACTCTTATGGCATGAATATTTGGAATCACTTCATTAACCTTATAAATTATAAATGTGTTCACTTCTTTAAAAACAGTTCAATGGTCATTAACTTACCTATTTAAAACCTATTAAAAAAACACATGTAAGACACAAGACTGTGCAATGTTTTTCAAAAAAATATGTTATCTGTAATTATCAGAAGTAAAACAATAATTATTATTCAAAAATGATCTTGGTGAATGGTGATTAGATACTAATATAAGTTATTACACGTTTTATTGAAAAATTATACACAATAATTTTATTGAATTATGATTATTGAATACAAATTATTTTATATATCATATTACAGAAGCTATTTTACTAGTAATATAGTTACATTTTATTAAATAATGTTTAGTTTTATAATTTTATTACAGATAAAGAAAATATAATTAAAAACGTAGTGAACAACATCGATTTATTAGAAAATAAAATTTTTACATATTACATCAAGGTGGATGACGATACTTTAAGGGATAATATATAGGCATTTTATGTGACATAAAAGACAGTTTTTACGTATGATTGTATGAAAAGTAAAGAAAATTAGTGCGTAAACAAAATTAATTTGAAAAATAATACACCATTAAATTATTTTATGTTTCTAATAGCTATTTTAATAATTACTATGTAATATTATATTATATTAATCAATGCTGCATGTTAGTAATTTAGACTAGATAATGATATAATAGCAACGTAGTGCTAAAGTATAGTTACCGCACGTTTATTGAGTTTTTTTATTATTCAAAATGACTAGTATAGAAATTAAAATGCTAATTTTTGCGTTAACTTCTTATTAATATTTTAGATAGCTAATTAAATAGTTATTTATGTAAATATTTCAATAATGTAATAAGTAATTTCCATTAAGCATTCATACAATAATTATTTTATAATTATGGTTATTTCTTACATCTTAGAGTTTCCTAGTAGTGGCTTGTTACATAATATACGTTTTTAATTATTGAACAGAACTAAATACTTACTAGTTTAATACTACACAGTATAGTCGTAAGAGATAAAATGGGATTTTGAATATTTAAATATTAAAATTTTATTTTCTAAATTATTCGTTTTAAAGATTTCAAATAATAATAATATTAACATTTTAATAAGATTTAAGATATAAATAAATAATGTGATTTGTTTGTATACACTATAATATTGTTGCTTGATTACATTTTCTATTAGTTCTAAAGTAAAAGTATGAATTTAAAATAATTTTTAACAGCAGCTAATTAATTGTTTTTTTTAATACTTCATATGAATATAATTTATTATTTACTAGTTATTTAATATATTCAAAAAGAATCAAAAAAAAAAAAAAAACTCTTAATTTAAATAATAATATTTTTCATTTTCACTATGTATTAATACATTAAAATAAATAGGCATTAAATTAAATGTATAAGCTATTGTTCATGTATATTTTTTTAATTGTAATTTAATTGGCGACGTGGGGCACACCTGAAATAGCATAACTTTTATTAGTAAAACACTTTTACTTCCCCTCACCATAATCAAAAAAATAATTCTAAATCAAATCTTAAAAAGGCATAACACAAATATTTTATATTTTACTAAAACTTAACATTGTGTTTAACAAATTTATTTAGGTACGAGTATGCTAACTATATAGTGTAGCTAGTATGCACAATGCACATATTAAAATGTAATGCCCTTTATCATTGATTATAAATACTAATAATATAAAATCAATGGTTTAATAAAAAATAAAATTTTTATACTATTGCTGGAACTTTTGATTATCTTATTTTTTTATATACTAGATATTGTACTTGTTTTTATTCATTTGTTTATACTATATACTTTACCCTAGAGAGTACAAATACTGGCACCTCTACTCGTTTTCATTAGGGACGTTTTTTCGAGTTTTTAAATAACATAGTTTAAGGTATTATAAGTCTCTTACCGTTTTTTTTAACTAAATTGTATTTACTATTTTTGGCTTGTAGTAACGTGAGATCTCAGATTATATTATAGTACATAGTTAGGTATGGTTAATTATATTTGCTTTTGATTTTTAAACTATAAAATTAATTGCGGGAGCTCTGCTCATTTTTTTTATATTCTTCCTAAATTGTAATAAATTATTTTGCATTTTTTAAATACTTTTTCCTGTGGATAGCTCTACATATATATTTTTTATTATTCTAATATAAGAGTATAAGCTATGGCCTCTAGAACATGTTGTGGTATTGTATGTAGCTATAGCTAACATAATTTAATAAATTATATTAAGACAATTATGAAATATATATTTTTAATAGGCCAAATTAAATCAATTTGTAGACCTAATTTTAAAGAAACAACAATAATCGAGTATCGAAATGATCAAAGTCAGACTGCATACAAAAACTTAATTTATTATTGTTCACATTAACATTTACTCACATATCCATGTCCCATCATGCATATACTATATATTGGTGCAGTTCCAGTGATTACATTATTGGGATTTTTCTATAATTTTCGATGAAATCCGCAATCAATAACCTTAACAATTTAATACAAGTAAATTGTAATTAACTATTAAAAAATATCATTTAATACAGATTTAACACGTATATTAAAGTGACTAACGTACAGTTACTTACATTTGCAACTACTATATAGCAAACTACAGGCGGTTACTTACTGACTACTTCCCACATTTTTTTTTTTTATTTATAAAACGAAGACTTTATATATATCGAATTGGACATCGATATAAAAGCTCAATAGTTTACAAAAATCGCTATAGGCTATATTAATCATTAATCAATGTTTAAATAATAACAAATGAATTATTATTTAAAAATATTATTTTTCCAACACTATTTAAAAATCATTCAAAAGTCTAAGTACTATGTGACCTAAATAAAGTCATCCTAAGTCAAATAAAATGTATTATTCTACAAAGTGTGACCATCTTTACCGATGATTTATTTTTTTTATTATTTTCCTTACAGTTTGCTTTATAACTGAAGAGTGACGTAATTATAAATTTCCAAGTTAGATTTCTTGTTTCTTAATATATATATATATAATTTATGCTTTAAATTCAGTATTAAAATTTACATTTACATTTACATTAACATTTACGTTAATCAGCAATAAAAACTTTCAACTATAAATAATAATATTCATTATTTTGTTAAATTCAAAAACATTATTCACGGAGATATTTAACTTTAACATGTTATTGTTATATTTTATACACACAATAATATTTTCACAATTCATATGCAATGTTTTCAGCAAAAATTAATTCTATCTACTTTATTACTAATAGTAAAATAAATTACTTTACCTAATGGCAATATCAAAAAATATTACATGAAATATACTTAGTAATATAGGCTGATAGACCTTATCCGTTCAGAATCGTTTTTTGCGTGATATAATAATTTACTGTTGAATTTAAATTTATTACATCTTTTAAAGTTATCTACTCAACACTTACCGTACAACAGAGTACCCTTCATTGATTACCTTTTAATAATGTCTGTCTTTAAATTGTATTATTGTATTTGAATCTATTATAATAAAGAATAATTAATATATATATATATTTTATGGATCCTAGTGATTCTACCGTTTAATAGAATTAAAATGGCCTATGCTAAAGTGATTATACACAGTGAAACTCACAATTTCTTTTTATAACTTATTAGGTAAGTACCTAATTTTGTCTCATCACTTATTAAATTTGTTTTGTATAATAATTATTCATTACATTTCAATTAAAATATTTAATATCGCCCAAAATAAAACTTATAATATCTAAAAAAAACTATGTTTCTATATTTTTTAGATTTTTAGTTTTAATATGAACTAATTTTGAAAAACTTTTTATCAAATGTTTAAGCCATAACTATAAAAATTTCACATTTTATAAATGTTCGTGATTTTGACTTAAAAAGCTTATAAAAATAAATTGTGCCAATGTATTAAAAAAGCGGGCAAGTGGGTACCGCTCTGCTATACATTAGGGGGTGGGGTGAACCTCGGACTAGGGTAGGTTAAATTTGAATGCAATAATAGGTATCATTGTATACGAAAAACGATTCTGAACGGAAATGATTTGTTAGTCTAGGATATATTATATTTAAATATTGTCATATATTTTATTTTGAAACAAATATTTTATTTTTCAATTAGGTTGCATTTGCAAAATTTATGGTTAATAAATTAATTATTAATTTTTATGAATTATACCTACAAAATAGTTGGCAAATATTCATGGTTTTGACGAATTTTTGTCAATATTTGAACTTCAAATGCTAATAAAAAAAAATTGTGCCAATGTATTCTTGAAATTTTTTGATCACTATAAGAATAACTTATGAGAAACTTTGTATTAAATGTTCAAGTATTGTGATTGGGCCAAAAAAATTTTATCGACACTTCAAAAAAAATTTTCAGAAAAGTTGAAAATTTCAGTTGTCTATAAATAGCTCAAAAAAAGTCAAAATATTTTGAAAATTAAATCATGTAAAGAAATGTCCAATCTAAATAACTGGTAAAATTTTCAAGTATCTACGACTTATATTTTTTGAATATTAACAAATATTTAAAATCGTTTGAAGATAAATCGTTATCATTTCGTAAAAATTTAAAATTCAAACGCACTTAAAATTTTTTCTATAATGATGCATCGAGTTTTTACTATAGCTACTTGAAGGATTTTCAACTACTTTTTATGTAGGTATACGTGCACAAAAAAACATACACTAATCATTGGAAAATTAATACATTTATTGCTCCACACACAACCTAAAATTATATTGAAAATAATCAAGTTGATTATGTTGTGGCTTGTGGAGCGTATGGCAATTTATTTTCTTTATTAGTTTTCAATAGATACTTAGGTACATAAATTGACTCATCATTATTTACAAACATATTTAGATGACTGATATGAATTATACATTTTTTTTTCATTTCTTTGGAATTAATGCGTCAGTATATATCATGCCAATACAATTCTTTCAATTATAAATAAAATATATTATAATTTACCCCGTATTCGATGATAAAAATATTAATATACTATATTTGATTATGGAACAAGTAGGTACCTACTAAAAATTTAGGACTTTTAATTCATCTATTTAACAATAACAATATTTTTATAAAGTCATTTTAACTGATATTGTAATTTGCAAGTAAATTGAACACTTGAAATTGATATTAATTGTATGATGTAGAAGGAAATTTGAGAGACTGTATATTATGGACTGCTCACTGTACAGTATGATGTGTGCGTGTTCATTTTAAGTATTCTTATATTCTATGGATATTGATTGATTATACTGCTAATGGTAAAGTGGCAAGAAGCAAAGGCAAATTATTCACACTTTCGTCTAAGTTAGTCATTAAATATTAAATCGATTTCATTCATAAATCAATTTACGGTCTTAACTCGTAATGTTTAAAAATTGAATGAACTATGAAGTATTCAAGTGTTTAGCGCGTGATAACCAATCATTGGAACTATAAGAGCGACATCTGTTAGCAAGTAAACCCACTACGCGAGCGTGCACACGTAATCTCCTTGGTAATTCGTTGTATGACAGTTGACCGCCTGCGTCCGCTTTGTTTGCGTTCTGTTGTTTTGACGGTGTTAAACGCTATGGCGCGCGGCGTGTAGGCCGATAGAGCGTGTACGAGTGTACGAAATTGCAAATTTTTTTCATTATTTACGAATTTTTTATTATTTTTATATTCCTTCGAGTTTTTTTCTATTGATCACCGTCAGTTTTCGTGACAATTTTGCTTCCATTCGATAGTACCGTCCATCCGTGCAACACGATTCTCGAAGATCGAATAGGTGACATCGCGGGCCTGAATCTGTTTTTTATAAAATTACTCGTCCCGCGGAACACCGTTCAACCGAAACGCACTCGACAGACACGCGCGATTCGTGGACTGAGGTGGAGGCATTAACGACGAAGGAACCGATGGTGAAGAAGACGTCATAACCAGCAAGCGAGTGAGCCCTGACGACAATCGTCACGCGTGTGTCGAAAGCACAACACGCGCGCGAAAAATCCCCCCCTTGAAGCCGCCGACGGAGAGTTGCAACGGCGTATTTCGCCTGCTCCGCCATGCCCCGCCGCAGCCACCACCACAAACAACAATCGATACCGTCATCGTCGTCATCGTGATAGTAGCAAAACGTTTTCGGTTATAATAGTACGGCGCACCGTTTGTAATACGCGCATTTTTGTATATTTTCATTTTGGTTTTTGATGCCATTTTTTCGCCCTATCTTGTAATATCGTTTAAAATATTTATCATTCCGTCGCGACTTCTCCGATCGTGATCGCGTACTCACTGGATTTATACTATCTATACTCGTCTGTCCTCGACCGCTTTAACTGTTGACGACCAGTGATTATTGCCTCCGTTACGTTTTGACGCGCTGTCCATGGTTGTTTGTTCACCACATCAATCTGCAATCTGATCTGGAACATTGTTTCACCGTGCCCAGAACACAGTGCGCGCATTCATTCGCACAACATGCACCACGCTGCCGCCATGGTTTTTCAGGAGAACAAGAGGTCGCTATTCCTAGGATCATTTGTTCAAGGTAAATCCATATCCCATGCTTTATAGTTGCTCTCTTACATTCTCCAGATTTAGCTTATTTACTGTACTCAATGATACAATTAAGACATTTCATTCTCTCTTAAACTTGGTGTCATCATTTGTCTAAAAAATATTTCATTTTGACGGCAGTGTCCAATACAAACAGTTCAATTTTTCATTTGAATGCATATTATGGTTCAAATAGTGGACACTTCTTCTAACCATGCTTAAATTATGTTCTATTTAATATGGATGTACAGTTATCAAATAGTTCATTAGATTTTACTATAAATTATCATCAATGAAGTATTCAATTTATTTAATTATCTATTCATAAATATGATATACAACTTCTATATTCTATGATCAAAAATACAATTGAATTCAGTACCTACTTTAAATTTTTATATTTTTATTACTATAAATAGCTAGACGATTCAAAAAAATTACCATAGTCATAACAAATATTAAGCCATGTGGGTGAGTAGACATGTTTTTCATTTTTGGTATTTACTATTCCTAGAAAATGTTTTTGTGTTAGAGTACATTATTTTTAAAACAATAATTTTTTATTGTCTTATATACCTAGGTGTTTACTTTATAAAAGTTACGTTTACATAATATTATAAATTATATAGTAGGTATACATTACATACATTTTTGCACTCTCATCAAATGCAATAACTTAGGTACTTATATCATTAAAGTAAAGTAAATATGTCAACTAATTTTAAAACTTATTTCCTTAAATTAACCAACCTATTATTGTTTTAATAATGTTATTAATAAATTAATACTTCTATTGAGTAGGTACTATAGGAGTACTTACCAACTTCTTACATAATGATAAGAATAGTTTAAAGCTCTAAGTATATTATGTTCTATATGAATTATAAACCTTTTAGGTGCCTATTGTAACATTTTTATTTTTTGTCTTACCTATTGTGTATTTTGTTATGTTTAATAATTTGTTTTTTGTTTAAGGTACTTGATTATTTGTAAATAATGTGAACAATTAAGACACATTTTTGAATAATATATAAGAAAAAAATTAATACATAACCACCTGACCTCCAATGTTTTAACAGTTCATTAGCGTATCAAGCCTAAATATTAAAAATTAACTTATATCTAATGGCGAATGTAGGTTTTGAGGTGTTGTTATGTATGTTAGGTACTTATGTGTATTTGATATGAATTTAATTTCATTAACCTTATTTTCTATAAATATTGCATCTACATTCTTAAATAAAATATAGAGTTTAAATATTATAAATTATTATTACTTTGTTTGATAGAGTAATAAAGTACCTGTTAGAACACCTATTATCAGTTATAACTTTAATGCGGTTTAAATACTAGTAAACTATCAAATTTCTAGTTATTTTAAACTTGGTTTTAATTGTAAAGAAAGCCTTAGCATCAACAACCATCAAGTGTTTATAAAGTTAAATAATACCTATGTTATGTAAATACACATATAGTGGGTCTGTGGTATGTATACATATTAATAATCATTTTAAAACGACGCTACCCCCATCTGTCTTATCTTGATCTTACAATTATACAACATCAATTGGGTTAAGTACAACCAATTGTGTGTTCTTAGTTTTAACATTAAACTAATTGAAATATTATTAAAGTTGAGGGCTTGAACATTATTTGTGCTTAAGTTCTAGCTTTTTTTTATATTTTAATTTTTAAGTAAAATATAAGTACCAAGTATAACCATTAAAAATTAAAAATGTTCACATCTAGCTTAAAAATTAAAGTATCAAAAAAAGCCAACGCTTAAACACAAATAATTTTTTTAACTTTAATAATAGGTCAATCTACTTTAATATTAAAACTAAGAACACAATTTTGTTTTTATGTATGTACGACGGAGGCAGTATATGTGAGAGTAATGTACTTTTAAGTAATATATTTTATTACATAAGTTAGCTGCAAAAAATAATAAAATCAGTTTTTTTTAATACGTACAAACAGGTTTGAAACATTTTAACTTATTTAATTAAATTTTTGGGCTACTTAAATAAAAATTTGATAAAAATGTTTAAGATTTAACTTTCACCTCATAAATTGTCCTGTATTATTTAGGTGTTCTTGTAGTATCACATATAATAAATAATTTATACAAGAACATTAGAATGTAGAATACTAAGATTATATTTTTTCAAAGCTTATTTAGTAAAACAAAAGGTATGTTGTTAATTTCAACATTTTTGTTAGATATTTATAATTTATACAAATGTAAAATTTCATCATATGTTATAGATTTATTGTTTTTGTTAGCAATTACAAGATTTTCCAAAAGTTTTTATTTGTGCTGGTTAGTTAGATCTAGTATAAGTTAAGATAAATAATAAAAATATAAAATATTGTATACGTCATAGATTATTAGTTTAATAAGTATAGTTTTCAATATTAATTAAATGATTACTTGATAATTTGTAACTATTTAAGTTTTAACAATAAGTAGATGTTTTTATTCTTTACAAATAACTTAGATAATATCTAAAGACAATAATTATTTATAACATTATACCGTATAATGTATTGGTAAAATTTACGTGTTTTATTGTTATATTTCACATGCAACAAATCAAAGTTCAATGATATAATATTATAGGAAAAATATCTCATATAAATTTAAATCGTATTTTTTCTTATAATTAGTGCATTACCTAAATTCCCATGTTCAAGCTAACTAATTATCTGACGTAATTATTTTTTGTTCAATTCTGAATAATTGAGTCATACCAGTTTCTATTATTCACTACACATACACACTCTTCCATTGGCACGTTTTATTGGTTCACTTCTCCAAAGCATTTTTTTTTTTAAAAGTATTTTTAAGCTTATATCATTATTTTTTATCTTAAAAGGATTTCATTTAATATTTTTATTCACTTTTTCACTATTTTTTAAAAACGTATTGGAATTTTTAAATTTTTAATAAGTAACTGCTAAAAATATTTTATGAAGTATTATATTATTTTAAATAGTTAACTAAACTCTAAAAATAGCACTTAAGTATGATTAAACAATTAAAAAAACATGTTGCTACATGCATTAGATAGATGTTTAATTTAAATACGTATGCTTAAAAAACACTTAATGTGCATTGCAATTAATTAAATTGTTTTTTTTTTTTTAATAACTATCTATTTTCACAGTATAGGTAATTAGTTGAATCCTGAGTGTGAAAAATGTATTTCGATTTAATCTATATTTTATATTTTCATTTATATAAATTACTTATAGCTAATTATTAACATTTATTCTTAAGTTTTTTCCTCCGAAATAGGTTATTATGTTTTTAATTATTTTTATAAATACTGTAGACAAATAATTTTGTATCAAAACTTTGTTAAATATTAGTCAAAAACCAAGTAAAATGTACAAAAATAAATTTAAAATAAACTCTTGGAGTGATGTAGATCATTTGTGTTTAGGGTATCTCTTAGCTGTATAAAAACTATGATAATACGAAAAAATCTTCGAAAATGCCTGGAAATAACCAACGATCGGAGGAGTCTCTAGACGGAGGTTCGCGTATTACGCATTTGATTTCGTTTTGAATCGTCGGTTTCAATTCTCAATGCAAGGAGTGTGTATGTTGTTTTTTCAAACTTGGTACTTGTTCTGGGCCAGGGAAATGTAAAAATAAATAAAAACAAACGTTCGATATTATATTTATGTTTGTGCGTGCAGCTTGAGACCATAATAATAATATAGTGTGTGTGTATGTACTGTGTATACAAACATAAAAAAATATGTATATATAACGCGCGACGAGCATTGTTTACATCGCGAGATTCGTGCAAGGTAGGCATAACGCGTCCCCCCCCCCCGTTTGGACTGATTCGGTCCCCATTCTCGACGCACGTCGCACACACATCGGATCGTCGCCGCCGCCGCCGCCGCATTGTATTTTTATTACATTACACGATAATATTATATTTATATACTAACAGTAATCGAAACCGGTTTTCCGTCGAACAAATTCTTGGCATTCATTTCCCTTGTTTACCCGCCGTAGATGCTGTGCTTCTGGTCCTCAATTGGGGTGTCGGTGGTGCGTGTGTGTCTTCGATAACTTTATTATTATTATCGTTGGCTGAAAAAAATGTGTCCCCGAAAATATGTTTATATTATTATTATTGTATATGGGAGGATAATGTGTTTCGAGTCGGGTTATATTTTTTCCTCTTAGGTAGGGTTTATTCCAAACTTCTTGGGTTCGTCGCCGAGTGCCGACGACGCCCTTAGCGACAACGGTTGGACGAGGCGGCAGCGGCTCCATGTGAATGACACGTGGTGCGGTTGTGCGTCTTCGATGTACAAGCGCCGCCGCCGCCGTAGTTGCATTGCGCGCGCTCGTAGCTTCCTCGGCGATCAATGAACCATGCAGACATCGCTCGGCTAGCCAGCCACCTCTCTTTGCCATCGTCTGGTTCCACCGCGCGCCATACTCATCATCACACCGCAAACTTGTTTGACCACCCAAATGCTGTTGTGTTGATCGTACACAAACCATGGTGTGATGTATGTGTGTGTACATATGCAATAACGTATACGGGGGTTTTTAAAAATAATAAAAACAAAAAATTAAATTAAAAACAATTGGCCATTAGGTAATTCCTGAATCTCGAGACAGAAAAGTTACCGTAAAAAATTCGACTTTTTATGTTTTAGTTGATAAAAAAAAATAAACATTGTTATTATCCCACATATCATTAATATTATATTTGATTCATTTTATTTCGTTATAGTCGGAGCCGGTATAGAGAGATTGATGATCCAAAATAGCGACGGAGCCGGTGAAGACGAGTCGATGGAAATATTCGATCTCGCAGGTAATCAACACAGTGATAACATGCCCAGCGAAACCGTCAAGCAAATGTACAACGCGTCTGCAGAAGAAATCAGGTAACACATCACATTATCACAACCGACGCCTATACATCGGAATCGCTCTGTATTCCGTTGGAATGTATTAAATTGGCGGGGCAATGAGAGAGGGAGTTAGTCCTGTGAGTCCTCCTAACCACCTGGCTTTTTTTCATCGAGGGTTGTTACTATTCTTGGAAACAGACATATACGAGAATGCAGCTGTTTGCGCCCCTCGAGTTAAAAACAAACATTGCTTTTTCGACCCTATAATTCCTCTCGGCTCTCGTGCTGCAACACGTTCATACAATTACGTAGTTTCTAGACATTTTCTTCCATTTGATGATATCGTTTGAGTAGTTGTACACGAAGAATAATCATGGGGGTCTTTGTAGCCGTGGTCTAAATTTAAACTCTTTTATTCGTGCCAACTGGCTACTGTTATTGCCAGACAGTCAAATATACCATACCTTTATAACGGGCTAAAATAAAATCATAGAATTTCGCCCGTTGCCAATGGTCGAGACTCGAAGTCAGATGAGAAATTTTGCTAATTAAAAATTTCAAAATTTCCACTCGTGATTAATATGCATCTAGAATTTAACTTCTTCGCGATAATTCCCATGGCATGTGGTTGTTAGCATATTGTAATTATTTGAATGAGTGTGTTGGTCATGTGGTACCTTATTCCAAACTGCACAGTGTGTGCCTGCCGCCTGGCCATTCTATAAATAACTAGACGCATCAACTCTTACTTCCTGTCTGGTATTAAAACCGCTGCTTTGTTCCTTTGCACAGTTAACGTCTGCCACATTACGATTTAAATCAATAAAATTCAAGATAATATTATACTTAGTTTTTAAATTAAACAAAATTCATATTAAATAGTGTTACTCCTTTTCCAGTTGTATTTTATTTAAGCTAAATATTAAGCAAATGTAGTCTTAGTAGTTAAGCGCATAATTTGCAATTTTAGATGCAAAATAAAATTATAACAGTAAATTATTGTGAATATTTTGTTAATGTCGGTGTTTCTTAAATTAATTCAATCAAAACTATAATTATTAACAATTGACAATAAACACTTGAATCTTTGATTGTGTACCATCATTCTTCTACATATCAATAAGTATATATGACTAATAAAAGTATCTAGTATTTAATATCTATACGTCTATCGACTATTACAACTATTATTACGTAGCGTGGATGATTGGTATTGACCATGCAGGTGCGTCGAGCGAATTCGGGGAATTAAAAACTTTGTTTGACCAGTGTGTCAGTAGTCTTAGCATCGTTTGGCATATAAATAAAGTAGGTCAATACGTCATAGCATAACAGCTAAACAGAAATAAAATTTCTGCAGAGTCTGTAATGAACTTATTTTTCCTTTTAAAAATAACTATTGTTTAAATTTGCGACCTCATGATAGATATTAGATACGAAATAAATAAAAAATTTTGGTACATGTCAATTGCTAATATATTATATTGTGTTTAAAAAAAAAAAAAAAAATAAATTTAATGGTTTATTTATCCAAGAACTTGTGTGTATAATACCGCAAAATAAATTAATTACCAATAGAAAAATAATATAAATAAAAGTCGCGCCTATTCATTAATCTTAAAACCAATAACTGGTTGTTGAATCCGGATTTTAATGTTATATTTTTTTTCAATCGTGTTTCAGTTCTTGTTCAAAATATTCTTGTAGTCGGGTAGGTCGATTTTAAAATAATATCTCCACTTGTCTTTCCAATACCTCCGTGCATTGTTCACAAACTAATTTATTTTGCGTACTGAATGTCGTCTGTGTAAAGCATTCTTAAGTTTCTTAACCTATCATTGAAATCTTGCAAAATAAAAACTATATACTATCTATACACTTTTTAAATTTGTGATACATTTAAAAAAATCTTTTTAGTATTTATGAATTTTTTAAGACCACATGATTTTTATCAAGTCAAGTACTATATGCGTTATTGTTTATTTCAAAATATTTGAGTTTTTTTATTTTTACGTTTATCAATATTTATGTCCTTGTTTGTAAAAATTCCCATCAATTTATATTCTTCAACAAAGAAATAGGTGTTTTTTATTTATTTAAATTTTTTTTTTTTAATATATGGATAAGGACAAAACCATGCTTACATTTAATTTAAGCATGTTGCCATACGATAAATAAATAAATAAATTTAAACAAGTATTTAATTTTAAGTGTGAACGAGGATAAATCTGTTTTAATTTAAATTAATTGCTGTTTTTAAAACAATCAGTATTGGATTTTACTGTATTTACTTTTATTAGTATTATTTTTAATATGTAATCCATAAGAGGTTGTTTTCAAAAATCCCTCAATATTCTTTGATAAAAAAAAAGATCTGCCAAATTGTTGCTACATGGGGTTAACAGGCAGATAAAAATTAACTAAATCATAATCATTATTCAATATTTAAATAGTTATTCATTTTTAATCATCAACATTTGTGTACTGTTTAAAAACCGTACACAAATTTACTATATGTCTATTCATAGCATTTATTTAATAAAATCTTTCTTAAATAATCAAACAATACTAGTAGTGATCGTTTTTTAATGAAAAGTCGGAAACTCATCTACGTTCTTCCTTGATTTATTGTTTACTCGTAATTTTTTAAAACCTTATACCATATAGTACGAGATATGACGTACATATCATGAATATATGCCTATTGTACATTTATACTGGTTATCATAATGTAATACCCACAACAATTTGCGTACATAAGGTTTTTTTTAATATTCAAATTCTAGTTGCCTGCCACGCGTGCCGGCGTTGAATGCGTTTTTGATTCGTAACGAATAAAAAAAAAAAATGCGTCGTCAACCGATTTTGGACGTCTGCCAAAACGAGGCGCCTCACGTTCTATACACGCAAAAGCCCCGCGTGCGTGACTCGTTTTTAACGTCGTTGTGCCTCCGATCAAAAGGAGACCGACCTGACCATAACGACGGACGTCGACGACGACGAAAAAAAATATAAATAAAATAACATACGAAATTAAATGAATGAAAAAAATTTCGATTCGGCCGTGTGGTGGTGGCGGTGGCGGTGCTGGTCTTTACTACGCGTACGATCGGCGTGTGTCGTACTCACAGCGTGGTGGTGTGTAGTACGGACGATAATAATATGAAAGAATGATGTCAGCTTTGGCGCGCACGAATGATTCGTCGCTGGGCCGGACGAGGAAAACGCGACTACCTACTGGGGCGCGGCGCGGCTCGAGTCCCTCCGGAGTGAACGCAGACACGCGCATCCCGTCCGCGGTGGTGTGTATTATTCTTCACGGTCGTCGTGTGCGCCAATAATCGATTTCCCCCAGTGCGTCCCTCGGCGGTGAAAGCGCGTTGGGCGACGGGGCCGCCCTTATTTTTCCGGGCGTTTTCGCACGCACGTCGTTTATCATTGACCGTCGGCCGTAAAGGGCGGCCCCGCCCAGCACGTACGCGATATCGGTGTTTATTTTGACGTCGTCGGGTACACGGCGACTACTCGGTTTTTTCGTAGAGTCGCCGCCGCCACCGGTCTCTATTTTACGCGCGCGTGCTTAGTCGCCCTCCCGACCGAGGCACGTTGGCGGCACTGCGATTGCACCGGATACCCGGCCGTTGGTCCCACTGGACCCGGTCCCCGTTTATATTTTTATTTCGTTTGGTTCGGTTTTTTTTTCATTCTCTCCCCCTACCACCACCCCTTCCCATTACCACCGCCAAGCTCACGCACGCACACGTACGGCCGGCCATAGGAGCGTCGCACAGTTATTTTTTTTTTATTTGTACACGTTCACGTGAGCGCGCGCGCATTCCACCGCGAGTGTGTGTGCGTCAGTCGCTTTCTCATTTCTCTTTCTGGCGGTACGCTCCGCCGCCGCCGGCCTTCGTTGTTCACACGACCACCGCCATATAGCGTCGTCGTAGTAGTAGTAGTAGTAGTAGTAATAGTAGTAATAGTAGTGTAGTGTAGTGTGTGCCGTACGCGCGGACCGTGTGTGCGTGCCGTTTCGTTGCGCCGCCTTTTCGCTTTCTCTGCGCGCGCGCGCGCGCTCGAAACCTCCGTGTGCTGCAGTACACGCGTGTTTTTCCGACCAAGAAATCGTCCGTGTGTTTACTACGAGCAGTTTTTGATTTTATGATTAAAAAAAATTTTTTTCATTAAAATTATGAATTCGTATTGCCGCACTGTGACTACTTTTCGTGTTCACGATACCGTTCTGTGTGTTATTATGTCGTTATTCGATTATCCCTTCGCAGGTGAAGTGCATCAGGACCAGTTGCTGAGTGCGATGTGCGATCGCGCGGTAATCAACACGGTCGCGTCCGGCAAGGTAAGGAGGCGTTGTTTTTATTCACACGCTCTAAGGACCGCGTTTCCCGCGTTTTTCTCCTCGCCCCACTCCAGATTTTTGGCGATGTGCGTCTCGCTACTATTATAGTAGTAGACCGTTGCGATACGATTTACGAGTGCGCACGAGGCTTTCGCGTAAGCTTGTTACCATCGTCTTACTATTTCCGTTACGGGTTTCAACAGAACGTGTGTTGTTGGGGTACGACGCGGCCGAGTGACTGTTAACTTTTTTCTACGCAGTAACTAACTTGACCGGCCGACAATGAACCCGCTCGTTTGTTGTGACGGTGCGACGCAGCCAGTAACCAAACGGCGGCGGCGGCGTTCCTGACCCCTTCTAAAACACACTTCATCGTTCGTCCTCATGAATGAATCGCCGTTTGTGTATGTATATACGTGCGTGTCTGTGTGCAATGTGTATGCATGTGCGTGCGTGCTCACTCTATGCACACATGAAAACAGTGACGTGTGGAAGGGGGACTAACTCGCACACATGTGTTACATGCCGTGGCCACAGACGGATTTGACCTTTTTGTCGCTTACCGCCACCATTTAAGGGGAAAACAATAATTATATTATAATGCAATCGTCGTTTGTCATGTGCGTCGCGCAGAACCGGATGGAAAATCGTCCGAATGCTCAGACTGCCGCCGGAAGTGTGTTGCTGGAGGCAGGCGGATTAATTCTTATAACAAAACATTTTTTTTTTTTTATCCTCTTGGCGCGTCGCGCAGATGGCCAGTCGCACTCGAACACAACATTCCTGCAGTGTTCCGCGGCTTCACCACTATCACTCGGACGGCGTCTGAGGCGTAGTAAAACGGCGCCGTCTCACCACGTGGTTTGATTTGTACGCGGTGAGCTTAAAAGAATTGATAAATGTTCGGAAAAAAAATAAAAAAAAATTCGCAAATAGATTTGTAATTCTTAAATTGAAGTGTACCCGCTACTTTGCCGTCCGTTGGATTAAAGTCGCGGAGCGGCGCATAAGTCTGAGATGGCGAGTTGCCCACGTTGAAAGCTCGTGTACTACGACGGTCTCGCACGGTCATGGTTGTAATGCGTTCGGGTTGTCGATGGCGGGTACCAGGGGCAACGGCGTCGACTTACTATTGGAGGGAGAAAAATAACTATCGATCGCGCAGGGATTCCATGTGTCAGTGTCATCCCGTCACTAGTGTGTACTACCGCCGACCACTATTATTATCGACGGGGACGTTTTACGACAACGCCCGACGACTTTATTATTATTATTATCATCATCATCATCATCATCATCATCATCATCGTCACATCGGCACTCGTTTCTTTGACCTCTGAAATCCACCCTTGTACTTATTCGCCGTAAAGACGGACGGACAGACAAACATTTTATCGTCGTGTTCCGGACTCGTAAATACGCGTACTACTACGTACTACGTAGTAACTCGTGTATATACCACTTAGAAAACGATAATGTAATTTTACGATTGAAACGTTTTGTTTTTGCCAATGTGCGCGCGCAGCAGATCACAGTCGCCAATGTCTAACAGCCGCGCGCGAACATGAATAGCACTGCGATTTTGAACTTGAAAATCATGTTTGCGTGTGTGGTCGCGTAGACGGCGCGCGTGTAGACTGTGTACATTGTGTATACGCACACGTCGAATTTTGTCGTGTGCGCCCTTCCATTTCAGTATCACAAACTAAACGTCTCTCCACGTCTATAATAATAATAATATGTGCGCGTGGGACAATACTATTTATCGTCTACGTTCGATGATGATGCTGATGCTGATTATTATTATACAAAATAAATAAACCACGTGCGCATTTTTTCCGTTTAAACTATTATCGTTTGTTACGTTGTCGGCGCGCGTTCCCCGACGATGACTTGGAAATAATAATAATAATCGTATCATCCGTGTTTAATTTAGAGCCGTTGACCTTGAACCAGCCCGTCGGCGGCACGTCCTCTTTACGCCTCTCTTCTGTCTCCCCGCATAGGCTTATAGTGGGCATCGTTGCCGTCGAGGTGCTGCCCTTTTGTTGATGTAATTCGGTTCAAATGTACATCGCGTTGCGCTCGCTCGTTGGCTGTCTGCTAACTCGCGGGCTCGCTCTTCCCCTTTCCTTTGCGGGTTGGTTGGTAGTCCTGTGTGTGTGTGTGTGTGCTGCGTATGTTTGGACCGAATGTGTGTTGTGTAGTCGTCGTGAGAGAATTATTACGATCGGGAACGTACCGTTCACACACACATTTATCTCAACCCCTGTTACTACGCGTTATTATTATAATGTTTAGAACGCCCACCACACCCTAAAAATGTAAACGTTACCGCCGTGACGTTATATTATTATATTTTTTTTCCCTTTTACTTGCGGATCCCTCCTGGTCCGTCATATGCCCCGAAATATACTCGGATGAACAATCCAGTCAATGTATTATAATATTTAAACATTTGATACAGCTTTAATTTTCTATGTCATTATTAATATTTTTTTTTTTTATTCCGCCTTTCCATTTTTTTATGCAACCTAAAATTATTGTTGCGGGTAGTGTATATATATATATATATATATGAGTATCGGAATCAATTATATCTTGTTTTATTTTTTAAACAAATTTGAATAAAAAAATGTAATTTGTTATGCATTAGCTGATTTATGTTTAAATTATCACACTGCCTTATTTGATAATTAATATACCGTGTAGTATTTGATGTAAACAACGTACGTCGTTGTTTATACCTGACATTCTTGATCGATGAAAATCTTATAGTATTATAGTTTTGACCTTAACACTCGGGGTGGCGTCAATATTTGGATACCATGACTCATATTTTATCAATCAATGGTCGTCGTTACTCATTTTAAACATTTTCATACGTGACATTTATTTTATTTATATCGACCATACGTAATTTTATGATTTGGCCATCAACAACGCCCACCCGTTCAAATGACGTGTTAAAAATGAAATCGAAAATGTATTTCCGCCTCAATTGACCGAAATGTTGACAGAAGTTTTGAAATATCCGCTTTGGAATTGATATAATAGATATTTTACAATTCTTTTGCTTACAACCAAATGCCTTTAGTTGTGTTTTTATTTATATTATTTGTCGAAAAATTTAAATTGTCATTTGTGCAATTCAAAATGGTTTTTAATGTAAATAGTTTTGTGAATGAACCAAAATAAAAGAATCACATTTGAGTGAACTTATTATTTTATGTTATCATTTTATTACTTTATAATTCAATATTTATTGTTAACATACATAAGTTATATCTTATATATTCAAATAGACTCTTTAATGATTAAAAAAATATATATTCCAATAAGTATCTATATTTTTAATTCTAATTAAATTAATTTATTTAAAATGTGAGTGCTACAAATAATATAAATAACAATGTTTTATGAAATATTTACTTTTTTTCCTTTCAATTTTCAACAAATAATCGTCATTTTTTTTTTAATTGTTTCTTCACTTAGTTATTTTATCAATATTACTTAAAACTATTTTTACACTTAAATATTTATTTATTATTGTTATGTAATTATTATTCTGATGTAGGATTTCAAATCTTGTATTTATATTAATAAATATTAGGAGGGTTGGTACTTACACCATGTTAATTATTAAAACAAAATATTTTTAAAAGTGTTAGCCCATTTTCTACTTTTGGATATTGATCATTAAATAAATGGGTTATAGGTACTTAATATCTAGTACTTCTTACCTATTTATTAAGCTTATTTAAGGACATGTATTAATTTCATGTTCTTAGTATAATTTCAAAATAAAATTGTGGAATTCTGTATGAACCTAGAACATTTATATACTTTAATAACAATGCTTATATTATATGTTAACATTTTGAAAAATAAATTTTTAGAATTATGTGATTGGTTAAAAATGTCTTCAGTGATATATTACCTAGTTAAGCATCGATTGTCTCATCAATCTAAATTATATAGTTATATTTTTAAGTTACAATTAAGAAATTCAGTGACTCATTTGTATATAATAATTTATTATTTTGTGGGGGCCAATTTTTTTTTTTTTTAACCATAATTTTATTATTATTGTTTGTTTACAGGAATACCACTCCAAAATATATATCATGCTGTATGAAATTTGTGATAAAGGATCATATAGAAATGATTCCGGACATACTCACTGTGATAGAAAAGATGACAAAAGATGAAGGTATTTTTTTCTTTGGTGTAATGTATACCTTTTCAATTTTTATTTTAAATTTTCTAACACATATATTACAGACAAACTAATGCGGTTTGACACAGTCAGCACTGTTGGTTATTTATGCACAGTTTTTCACCAACATGAGAACCTCAGATCTTATATACATTCTTTCTTACTCCCAGCTATTATCAAAGCATTATCTGACCCAGCAGAACAGGTATATTAATATAACCCCATAAAATAATATTCTATTGAATTATATTTTAATATTTTTGTTGGAATAGGTAATAATGCGAGCTCAGATGGTTCTCACATACATTATAAGCAAAGGTGTGATCAACAACAAGACTGTTGAAGATATTGTATGTCCAGCACTTATATTAGCGGCTAATTCCACAGATGATCTCCATGTACAAAATAACATTGTTACGGTAAGTAATTGTGATTCTCTGTTTTTACCTATAAATTTATATTTAAACAATTAAGTTTTTAAATTTGAAGTTATATATATTAAGATTATGCCATTTTGAAAATGTGATCGTTGCCTGTTGAAAGACATGGGTAGTGAGATGTGGTATATTTATGATTATCTCACTATCTTGTCTTTCATGTTGCATCGATTTTAATCGACAGCAAATTTATTTGCCCTTGGAGTCGATCTGTTGCCGTCAAAGCGGGCTGTCGTAGAGTGTTCATTTTCTTTGACTATCACAGCCAGCTTTGATGAGCACCGGATCGATATTGGTCAACCGTTTTCAAATCTACCTAATGCCCAACATAGGCCGTCAAAATGGATGTGAAGTGTTTTTTTTTACTGTTCATATCACAGCCACTTTGATGAGCCGATGTGTGTGGTACAATCGACTCATCTGCCATCATTTTATCTTCGATAATTAGTATTTGGATCAAGTATATTATATTTTTTTAACATCGTTTAAAATAATTAAAGTGATTTTTTTTTTTTTTATGTAATGAATATGAATTTAGAAATTCTTTAGTAAAGCTTAAAAATAATAAATACTCTTATAATTTTATAATAAATAAATTCTGAATATTACATTTGATTATAAATTACCAGTATTTATTTTATATTGGTAGTAGGAGAATAAAATTAATGTATTATTTACTATTATGTATGTTTTTTTTTATCATTAAAAATATATTTTTAAGGCATAATGTTTCTTATTTATAATTTAATTATCATCAAAGAAACTATTGCAATAAATTTAAATGTATTGATAATTTCAGTATGATAATAATTCGAAGGCGTCCAAATGGTCAAATCGGATGTGACGTGTTGATATTTATATTCATATCACAGCCGTTTTTGACAATTTTGGCGGCTAATCGTAGTCTTCAAATCAACTACTTATTGGCTTGAGATGCTCACAAAGTAACTGTGAAATGTTGATATATTGAGTCATATCACAGCCAGCTTTGATGAGCGTTACGAGTTGAGATTTCTTCATGGAGCAGCCATCATTTCATTGATAACTGAGGAATTGTGGTTCTCGTCAAAGTGGTTGTGACACGTTCTGGTTTTCGTTTTAAATTCAATTAACATCGTATCACAGCCAGCTTTGTATGAGCGCTGCAGTTTCTACAATCTATATCTTTTTTTGTTTAGAATTATTATAATTTTATTAATGTTTATATAAAAATAATTTTCATAATTATTTATTTGTAATTTAAAATTTAAAAACTATTATTATTAATATTTTTGTTTATATAATTTATATATATATATTTTTTTTTTTTTTTTTTATCAGTTAGTAGGAAAAATTGTCCTTAAAATAAGTGACTATGTGCTGTGCAAAACTGTATTACCATTCCTAATCAACAAAAGCCATAGTGATTGTATATATGTCAGACTTGCTGCTTTATTGAGTTTTCCTGAACTTGGCCATGCATTGAACATAGAACATAAAACCAAAGTATTGGTAAGCTAACTTGTTTTTAGATTTTATCATTATAAAAGTATTTATTTATTTCGTTTTATAGATGCCTCGTTATTTAGAAATGTGTAATGATCGTGTGGGTACTATTCGGAAAACATGTGCCGATATTATTACACCATTATCAGTATGTTGTGATGATACTCTGAGGCGAGGGCCTATAACTGATGCAGCTGGACGATTACTTAGTGACAATTGTAAATTTGTGAGACAGACAGCTTTAGAAAATTTAGGTCCATTGATTACAACGTATGCAAGTCCTGCTGTTACGTCATTGGTTACTACTCGTACTTTTATTCTTATGATGGTCAGCAATTTCACTGATGATTTACATTATATTACGTAAGTTCAATTTTATATTTAAATAATTTATATACACATATGCATAGCTCTATTCCTGGCTTTAGATAGGTCCCCATCTGGTATTCAGTACATAAAAACAGTACTGTTAGTAAATTATAAATTTTAATAAGATGAATGGTGTTATCCATGGTTCATGTTTCATCTGAAACATAGTGATGGTTAATCATCCAAATTTATCTGATTCGACTACTCATTGATTATAACCACTTCATATATGGAAATGTTTCAGGTATGTATTGAGTATGCACGGAGTGGTTGAATAATAATTTTAGTTTTGAATAGATAACCACACAGTTTATAAAAGTATACAATGAATTAATTTTTATGATATATCCTATCAACAAACTACTTGTGTCTTATAAATTCCATTCAAATTTTAAAATATACCTATTCATATTTAACTGCACAATCAAGTAATTTGGTAACTTAAATTCCTTTTATCCGTATTCATAAATATGTTGCGTCTGTAACCTTACTCAAGTTGAGAAGAATGATACATTATATACAGACCCTATCTTCATTCCTTCTCTAAGTGACTAAACCATTATTATTGCTGATAAAAAAATATTATCTTTACTCATGATAAGAGCATGCACCATATAAATTCCATGAACATTATGGAAAGGATGCAGTTGGCTATAGACACTTGTCATAATGCGTTTTGAATTAAAATAATTAAAGATCTTAAATTTAATGTATGGAACATTCTTAGTTGTTTCATAATTATTTTTGAAAAATTACAATTTATAGATAATGGTAATATAAAAACCAACAAATATCTTATATTGTACATAAAAAAAATCAACTTAATTAAAATTTTTGTTCCTGACCTAAACTAATTTTTGTTATAAGCCATACAATTTCCTATACAAATGTTTAGGATCTGAATCACAACTGACATTCTAGAATTCTGATATTACTTATTCAACCATTACAATGTTTGAATATCAGTCATATTTATGGCACTTAATATGTTGTCCAGATAATAATATTTAATGGAATTATTGAAGATGATATGTGTATAAAACAAATGTAAAGCCTCATAATACAATTTACAGTGAGTAAATTTAATGATAAATACCATTTATGTGTGCTTAGCACGCAACTTAGACTTTGGCAAATCTATATTATGTGATATACTTTAAAGCTTAACACATTCACTGCAGGTGGTACCAAATGATGATGCCAATTAACAAAGTTAATTTATGCTGAATGATGCTTAATTTTTATTATATGCATTACAATTAAACTATTTTTTATTTATTTTATTTTTTTGCATCTTCTACAAGTTTTTATTTTTACGTGTATGCTAGTCGTTTTCGATATTTTAATGTTTCAATTTTTAAGGTATTTTATTTAAACAACATTTTTTACTCTCACAACTAATATATTCAAACATGATGATTAGCAGTTAATGTGTTAATATATATGAGATAATGTGATCCCAGCTTCAATTGATTGTATTTATTTTTGATAGGTTAAGAAAATAATTATTTTTCGAACCATCCTTATTTATTGATAGGACCAGAAGATAAGGGTCTGGTCCCTAATGTATTGTTCTCATACGTAGCTTAGATCAAGGATAATACACATTTGGTTAAAATTTATTGTTTAAAATAATATTAGAATCACAGTGATATTTTCATATTATTTGATATTATTAATGATTAAGACCCTGACTCAAAGATTTATATAGCATGTTTTATTTCATATGATTATAAGTTTTTACTATCTTTTTACTTCTACTTAAATTAAATCGATTTTAAATATTAAATCAAATAATTACTTTGGCTTGAATGCTTTCACAAATCACAATATTTTATGTTATTATTTCATTTAATACATTTTTGTTTTGCTAGGATTAATTTTTTTATAAATATTCAAACCAACTATGTCTTCTTTTTTTAAATATTCTATTCACTGCCTGTTTCTTAAAGCCTAACTCTTAAATATACTTCTATTTTAAATGTGCTGTTTTATGTTATTGTTTTTTTATTATTATTATTATTGAATATGTCTAATTGTCAATAACTTTTCCAGTATGAAATGTCAAACAAGTCAAGAATATTTTAAAGCAACAGAACTGTTAATGGATCGAGAAAAGCCTTGGTCAAATGAAACAACAATGAAAAATGATAATAAGTAATATATTAATAATATTTTAGATAGCTTGCTAATAATAGTTGCTTTTTGATTTTTACAATACCTGACATGGTTTGAGTCTTATTTTTTATTGATGCAAGTTACTATTTATACTTTTTTTTTTAAATTCTAATACATTTGTTTAATTTTTTTTATAAAATATTAATTATCAATGAATAGTGAATTAAAACCAAATCGATATACCTAATTAAATTATATTCAAAGAGAATAATTCTATTTAATATATTTAAGTACTTCATTATAAATTTTAGCCTATTTGCTTGTCTTGGTGCCTTAATGATTAGGTAGTGCAAGTTTTCTAATAGGCTTATACTAAATATTAAATCAGTATTATTCACAATTACTTTTCATCTATGAAAAGTGAATTGAAACCATATTGATATATAAATAATGTTTTTAGAATATTAATTGTATCTATTATATTTAATATGCATTTTAGCCTATTTGCTTGTCTTGGTACCTTAATGATTAGGTAGTGCAAGTTTTCTAATAGGCTTATACTAAATATTAAATCAGTATTATTCACAATTACTTTTCATCTATGAGAAGTGAATTGAAACCAT